TTGATATAAGTTTCAAAAATGTCTAAGACCCCCTTTGACCTCCTCTCTCTCTCATTGGTTAGATTTTCTTTTCTTGTTTTTTTATTTCCCTTGTCCTCCAATCACCACCTGCCACAAGTCTGTGGGGATAGTGGGGGTGATGATTGGATGGAGTCTCTATCACTCCTCTATAAGTTTTGACAATTGTCATTTGTGTCAACTCGGGCAAAATCTCCCTCAATTCCTCGTAGCAAAATAGATAAATTTTTGCAAAACAATCATTTTCACAGAACCAAACACAGAAACTAATGTGTTTAGGATGATCGGCCGGACGACCACCAAGTCAATCGCTTGGTTGTCCCGTACACATTAGTTTCTGTATTTGATTATGTTAAAATAACATCTGACCATAGAAGCACTATGGCTATAATTCTATTCAGTGTGTTTGTTTGAGTTTTTTAAATTAAATTTTTTGGTTTTCGTATTTTTTTGTTTTTAGTGAATATTTTTAAAATTTTAAATATTTTTTTACTTTTTAGATGCACCTTACTTAGATGTATCTAAAAAGTAAAAAAATTGTGAAAAAATATTTTAAAAAATTAATGAATACATAAAAATACAAAAAAATATATTGAATTCTCATATTTTTTTTATATTTTGGGTATTTAGTGAATTTTTAAAAGGCTTTCTTCACAAATTTTTTACTTTTTAAATACATCTAAGTTAGGTATGTCTAGAAATTTAAAAAATTGCTTAAAATATTTTAAAAAATCAGTAAAAACAAAAAAATACGGAAAATAAGAAAGTAAAATTTTTTGAAAAGTATTTTTTAAAAAGGGAATTCAAGCATAGTGATTATTTTTTACTATTTATTGCCAAATTATAGTAATAACAATGCTATTATAACATTTGTTATTAGAGATGTTCTAAAGTCTCATTTAGATCAAGCTATTTTAATAATTTCTTAAATTTTTAATTAAAATATGACGTCAAGAAATTAATATATTTAAAAATAATTTTATAATTCTTTATGAAAAGATATAAAAAAATAATTTATAAAATAAAAAAAAATTAGTAAATTGACATTTTTACACTTTGACGAGGCCGGTTATTCAACTCGTAAAATTTCAATTCACCTGCGGTGAAGTGACGCGGCAAACTGGCATGACATACATGAAGTGAAAACATGGGATTGCGAGATATCATAAATATTGGACTTTAACATTTTTTTTATTAACCCAGAGTTTTATTAACCCAGAGTGAGTAACATTGTAGTTAAGGTTTAAGATTTAAGCTCCAAAGTTACAGGTTTAATTCTCTTTTTTTTGGGTTAATTATTTGGGTGAAGTACAATTAGTTAGGAAGTTGGATTTTAAATTGTCTAATTAGTGTGCTTGGTGTAGGTTCAATGTTCTTCTGCTGTGCGAGTCCTGACTTAAGCGGAGCTTGTCTTGGAAGGTCGGGACAAGTTCCTAGGTTATAGTGTCCTCGTTCGGAACAGCTAACAGGACACCCTGGTGATCTTTGCAAGGGGCGCTGCCTTAAACCTTCAGGAGAGTAGGAAAGATTTTTCTATAACAAATTTTTTTTTTTTTTTATATTTTCCTGTATTTTTTTCCAAGAAACTGAAAGCTTACCATGCTATTATGCTGAATTGTACAAGAAAATTAATTTCCTTATAATTTCTACCACTTTCATCCTAAACAAACTTATGCTAACCAAACTAAGAAAAAAAAAAAATCATTTCTTTCACTTTCTACCATTTTCATCCTAACCAAACTGAGCCTTGTGTTTCAACTGTTTAGATTAGCAAATCAAGAACGAAACTTGATTAGTAATTAAAAAATAGAAGAAAGAGCTCATATTGCTTTCCCTTTTCCTTTCCCCTATTTTCTCTGGAACCAAACAGACCCATTAAATTCCCAGAAAAAAAGGAAAATGAAAGAAAACTCGCCTGCGCAATATATGATCCGGAATGTGATCTTCACAGAGTTCTCGGATAGTCGAAGCCCTCTCTGAGATATCAGCTTCGATTCCAACACACGTAGAATCAAGAGAAGCTCGTGAAGGCCGGCGATTGGAATTGGATAGAGGGCTGAGAGTCCGATTTCTACAGTTAACGAACCATGAGCGAGTGCAGTTGGGGTTTTGTGGTCAAAAATTCTAAAATTACTTTATATCTTGTACACATCAATCAATTATTTTTTCTCTCTCCTCTCTCTTTCTCAATCATTTTTTCTCTCACACACATTTAGGGGTTGTTTGGGGTGTCCTAAATAAGTGCACTTTTTGATTTTTATGAAATATAAGTTGGGTATGGGTTGGGTTTGAAGTGATGTGATAGAGAGGTGATGTGACTTAAATAAGATAATGTGACTTAAATAAGATAGTGACTTTTTGACTTTTTGAATTTTTTTGAAAATGCCAAACTTGGCCTTACTCTAGAGAAAAGAGAGACCCTCACCACCCCTAGTGAATGTTGATTGGTCCAATTTTTTTTTTTTTTTCCTCTTCTCATTGCCCCCCACGTGTATGTGGGGGTGGTGAGGGTCTGGATCATCTCTGTTTATTCAATTACAACAAAATATAAAATTATCCCAAACTTTCATATTCCAAAACTATTTCCAAAATATACAACTAAACGAATCAAAAAAAAAATTTAACTCTTTTCCCAAAAGTTTTTTTGAAAATTTATCCTCCAAAACCAAACCAAACACACCAATTATCTCTCTATTTTTTTACATCTTTTCATAAAAAGATAAAAAATACACTTATTTAATTCATCCAAATGGCTAAAACATGGTTGATTGATTCATATATGCATGGTTCTGTTCAAAAAAACAAAAAAGTTTCATATATGCATGGTGGATAGGAATGGCAACGGGTCGTGTCGGGTCGGGGCAGTGTTGGGGATCACACTTCCCATCCCCGTCCCCGGTCCCCGATGGTGAAAATACTCCTGTCCCCGACCTCGATCCCCGACGGGGAACCCATTACCGCCCCCGTCCCCGTCCCCGTCCCCTAACGGGGATCAGGTTTCCCAACCCCGAAAATTCCTCGGCCAAAAAATTAAAAAAAAAAAATTCAACTCTACACATTTACAAGAATTCATCAACAACAAATCTAACATATTTATCAGCAACAGATAATTCGTATCTTCATTTTCTTGATCTTCATCAACATATTTACAATAGATCATTATTTTACAACAGATCAACAACAAATCAACAAATCAGAGAGAGAGAGAGAGAGATTTTCAACAACAGATTTTTATTTTCTTGATCTTCATCAACAAATCTAACACATTCATCAACAAATCTAACACAGATCAACATCTTCATCTTCATCATTTTCAGATCTAAAGAACAAAATCAAAAAGAGAGAGAGAGAGAGAAAGAGAGGAAGAGAAGATACCGTGAGAGAAAAAGAGACAAGGAGATACCGTGAGAGGGAGAGGAGGAAAAGCAACCAGTGAGGAAGAGAGGAGGAGTTGCGATGATGAACGGCGGTAATGAAGGAGCCGTCGCCGACCAAACCAGGAAGGGAGAGAGAGAGAGAAGATGAGATACCATGAGAGGAATAAAAGGAGAAGCCGCCAGTGAAGGAGAGAAGATGAGCTGTGGTGAGAAGCGGCGGTGAGGGAGGAGCCGCTACCGACCAAACCGATGAATGAGAGGTGGTGAGGAACGGAGATCATGTGTGAGAAAGAGAGAGAGATGGAGGCGATGTTTGTGTGTAGATATTCTACCAACAGATAGCCAATCCCTACACACACACATATATTATATATAAACAGGGGCAAAATAATAATTTTACGTTGAGGGTAACTGGGGGGGATCAGGGATAGGGGCGAACTGGGTCCGGGATTGAAACATGATTCCCCGTCCCCGGCCTGAATATCATCAGGGATTTAATTTTTAATATCATCCCCGGTCCGTCGGAGGTATTTTTTGAGAAATAATTGCTCAATTCAGGGTCGGAGGATCGGATCCCCATCGGGTCGGGGTCCAATTGCCATTCCTAATGGTGGAGTATCTAATATGGAGTAGTGATATATGAATAAATTTTGGGGGGAGGGTACAATGTGTATTTGTATATTGTAAAAAAGTTATAAAAAGAAGAAATTATATATTTTGTAAGATGAAAGTAATGATTTTTGTGATAAAAATTATGAATTGTGATGTGCATCCTAAAAATTATATATAACTAAAGTTATAATTTTTATAAGAGAAGTTAAAAAAATTGTGAGAACAAAAAAAATTATATTTTTTGTGACAATATGCTTTTTATATAAGGTGCATACCATGTACACCTAACAAGGAATACATATCGTAGACTTTCTCTAAATTTTTTCTTACAAAATAACATAATTGTTTGTTATTTTTATTTCAAATAAAAAAAAATCAACTTATTAATTCTGTATGACTATTATGTAAAAAATTCAATTTGTGTAACATATTACATTGATTCGAATAAATTTTATTTTATTTATTTTTTGTATAAAGTTATGTTTGTAAATAATTATTCTTGTGAGGGTAGATAAGTGGAGGGCCATTTTGAGAATGGTGGACCTTGACCCATGATGATAAGAAGGGCCATATGCACAGTATAAGGTAGGGGTGGGTAGTGTGGTTGGGGGGATTTGAAAGTAGAATTATAAATCAAACGCGGTTTAATGGATTGAAAAATTGTAATTTGGATGGTTTGGAATGGATTGACGGATTGAAAAATATTTTTAATTAATTATCAAATATAATATAATACTAATTTATATAATTTTTCTTTATATAAATAACATAAATTAATTTTACATAATATTTGACAAATTTTATATTTTAAATCTCTCTTACACTCATTTTTATTTTGATATTTCATTAAAAATTAAAAAATATATGTATTAATTATAGAGGAACAAAACAGTTTTGAACACAGATTATAAATTTTAAAATTCAATTCACGGTTAGCATATAAAATGGTACGGATTAATGTGAATCAGTAAGATTTTAACGAATTGGACAATATTTTACAAATTTTAAAATTCAATTCGCGATCAGCGAATCAAATAATGCGAATTAATATAAATTTATATAATTTTAACGAATTAAGTGTACTTTACATAACCTTAATATAAGTAGTGCACCAAAGCTGTGGGAAGAGATATTTTTTGCTTTTTCATTGAAACAAATACAGAAGCACGTGTTTGAGAAAAGTTGAAAGAGTTGAGATATTTTGCAGATATTTCATTGCTCCTCACTCATCTCATCATTTCAGTATCTTCTCTGGAGCCCTCTTGACAAATCGACCCTGCAACATAAAAACAACACACTTTGAATTCTCAATCAACCCAAAAACAGAACACAGAGAGAGAGGATAAGGTGGTTTTTACCTTGAGCCTGGGTCTTTGATCAGCGTTGAGTTTGCGAACTTGATATCTTATCTTCTTAGAGAACAATCTAGTCTGACGTTTTTCCTTGTATCTTAGTACTCTTGCTTCCCTTCTTGCCCTCTCCTCCTCCATTACTGGCACATCTCCCATCTACAAATTAATATTATTATCCAAACACCTAAAATTAACAACTTTCATAAGAATATATATACATAGGAAATGGAAAATGCCATGGACATTCTCTCTCGCCCTCTACTATTTTTTTTTTTTAAATTTTTTATGTCAACGGTAAGGGTGCCCGGGCGTACAACTCAACTAATCTCCTTTTTAGTCCGATCAAAGCGAGGCATCTACGATAAGAAATTTATTATTTATGACTTGATTCTAAGAGTTGAACGGTGAATAATTATATGAAGAGTATACTCACCAATCATTCAAGACAATTTAAGATTTCACATTCTACTAATTATGTATCAGTATATCCCATATATATATACACTTGAAAATATTAATAAATATATTATCACTTTTTATTAATTATGTACTATTGTACCCGTTTCATATAAAGCAGAGGATTATATATACTTACAAAAATGAAGGAGCATTTTTTTCTCTCTCCCTCTACTAATTACGTAATGTATTCGTTGACTGGAAAAGAAACTCAAGTACCCTTCTTATTACCCAAAAAAGAAAAAATTCCGAGTTCTTCATAGACTAATTTCAGCTTAGGGGAATAAAATAGAATGTTCGAGATTAATAAAATTCAGTAAATCTAATATACATAGAAGATGTGGAAGTGAAATGGATTAATATTAGAAGGAAGAAGAGAGGATAATGAGTAGTTTGAGGACTAACATAGCCATTATTCGCCATTGAGAGAGAAAAATCATCAGCCCAAAGAGACCGACGATCGGACCAGGCATCCAAGACCTCTTGATAATTCAAGTTCAACTTCAATGACATCCTCCTCTTCTCGTCATCATGACTATCATCATCCCAAAATCCGTAGCTTTCTCTCTTCACAGTACAATAGTTGTAGCGGCTGTGGCTCTCTTCTTCGAAATATATGCTCGTTTGCGCTACGGTCTGATCACTTTCTTCTTCTTCTCCTGCTACTGAAAATCCTTCCCAATCCATGAAATCCCAATTGAGTCCACCGCACATGTTCTTAGTACCATTCTCTGGTAAAACTTCATCGTCTTCGATGCTCAAAATGCCCTCCAACTCCTCCATGATACCAGTCTCCTTGTCGTCAACGATTCCCGAGAATTTGGGAACCATGGTGGTTGGCACATCTTCTTCTTCCTTCTTAGGACTTCTTAGGAGAGAGCTATGTCCCATCTCTATCTCTCTGCCTCCCCCTCCCTCTTTTTTTTTTTCTCTTTCTTAGACTGTTTTTTCATGTATGCATGACAATGTGAATGTAGGAAGTAGTGAGTAGTGGAAATGGGTAATTTTATTTGCTTGGTGGCACCTTATCTTCTTGCGATTGGTCAATGTAATCTTTTACGTGGTTGTGATAGGCTGAAATAGTCCAGCTTGTCGGAGTGCGGAGGCGGGGTCCATGGAAACCTTTATGCTTCCCTTGTGTTGTCCCAATTGACCTGCGTATAGTGAAATGATATATAAGTTTACTTTAGATTCACTTTTTAAGTTTAGGGATATATGAACGAGATGATTAGTTGACTATTATAAAATGAATGAATGCGAGAGATAATTGTTTTGAATTTTTAGTAGTGTTATATTATTTAATTTAGAAAGTGAGTTTAATTTTTTAGTCTAAATAATAACATTCTTTACAGAAAGTTTTGTTATAACCTTTTATACAGTCCTCGTATTTCATTTTATCACATTTATTTTTTAAGAAATAATGATAAATATATATTTTCTAAAATAGATTATTTATTTTTTCAGACAAAATTAATAAAATGAAAATATTATAACTATTAAATAAATTTAATTTTTTTCACATATGATATATACAAAAAAAATACTCTACCAAATAAAAGATTCAAATTATCAAAATAATATCTCACCAACCTTAACATGACGGTCAACTTTAGATTTGAGAGAATTTTTATGCTAATTTGTTAGCTGTATAATTAGGATTTTAATGCATAATTAATTAAATTATTATTTTAATACAAATCGCACCGAATGAAAATGATACGAGGACACAATTCAACACGACAACACGTCAATTCTAAAGAGAGGCTTCTCTCAAAAAATTGGGAAGCATTTCCCTAAAGGCCGAACTTCTTCGGAAGAAGAACATTTTTTGGGCCCGGTCCGCTCAGTTTTCTGCGGCTAGTTTGCTGTGAATTGTCTTATTGGAAGCCCATATTATTATTAGTAACTCAACCAGCTCGTCAATTGGAATCATTGGCTAAGCCCATTTGAGATTTTGGGCCCCCGATCAAAAGAAGACATGAATTCTGCATCATTAACTATTATTTTAATCTGTGTTCCTAGTGTTCACGGATTGGTTTTGTGCGATTTGTGATTTGGTTTTGACTCACCGCATTTATGCAATTTGAGAAAAAGTTAACCCGCAACCGCCCGCAATGTAGTTTGTGGTTTGTGCAGATAGGATTTGCGGATGTGCGGGCGGTTTGCGGTTTACACTTTTTTCTTTAAAAATTAATTTTTGAGTTTTTTTTTCCCATCGAATTTAGGCATCAGATTCATTTTATATATTTATGATCATTTGGCAACAATTTTCTAATGAGTTTACAAATAAAAATTGAATATCAATGTATTAAATAAAAGTATCCAAAACAAAGAGAACCTACACTAACATTTTTGTCATGAAAAAAATGTATATCAATGCATTAAAGGTTGTACTCAATTAGAATTGCCAGTTCGGTAATCAATAATCAAACTAGAAGTTCCATCGACCAACAGAAGGAAAATTTTATTAGGAAAAAGTGGACGAGCCACCAATGAAAATCATATAAGAAACAAAGTTTAGGACTTGATAATTCTACGGCATTAAGAAAGTTGAGAAATACTTAAAAATAAAGACCCTAGTGTCATAGAGAACATAATGGTACTCCTATTAAAGTTACAAAGTTGGTATATAAAAAATAATAATAATAATTAAAGTGCTTGTGGGTTTTGTGGGTTGCAGGTTTAACCCGCAACTCGCAAATTTGTCATATTTTAAATTGAATATGCCCGCATTATATTTGTGAAACCGCTTATTTATATGCGAGTTGGACGATTTGAACAGTTCGGATAAACCGTTGCCTACTCCTACGCCTACGCCTACGCCCTATTTTCAAATAAAAAAAAAAGTTGTTCCATGTACGAGTAAAAGATCGTATGCACTACGCAGAATTTAAAGGAAAATATGTGGGGCCAAGGCTAGCATACTTTTGCACAATAAGCACGAGACAATAATACATAAATACAAAAAGAATATCTTCGTTTGGAAAAAAATTGTTTTTTTTCTTTTAGCAAAAATTAATAGTTAGTTTTTAAATTCATACATTGGGAGGGTTAAATTCTCACCCTTTTTTTTACAAGTATTTAAATTTTACCTTTTATTCTACTTTTAATAGTGAAGCTTAAGACTTTCCCTTAGAAGAAATTAATGGAAAAGATTTATAAGTAATTCTGTGAAATTGATGCAGCATCAATTGTTTCTATCTCTATGGTGATCACTACAAAACACATGTTTAAATGACCCTAACTAAATAATCAAAACAATTATGCAATAAAATTTTATACCTTTTTTTGGTACATTATATCCTAGAAAGCAAGTGGAAAATTTCAAATTATGACCTCCAAAACATAAGGGTGATTTTTTCTTGTTAATTAATTAAGGTACAAACAATTTTTTTTTTTTATAATGATGTAATTTCTATTGATTTTTTCAATTCAAATCAAAACATCTCTTACTTTGATTCATATAATGATGTAATTTCTTTTGATTTTTTAATTTCAAATCGAAGCATCTCTTATTTTGGTTCATATTTTTCAAAAACATCACTATTACATCATTATATTTATCTTTTTGACTAAGAAATAAGAAAAAGTAAACTAGCATTGAACATACAACCATTACCACAAGTAACTAGAAAAATTAGGAAAAAGAAACAAAAGAAAAAGTGTTTTTTCCACACGCAAAAGTCATTAGAAGGTGACTGTGTCTAGGGTTTAGTTCATGTATCTTCCCAACAGGGACTTTGAAGAGTCGGCAACCTGAAGTCCAAAAAAATAAAAATAAAAAATTAAGATTAAAAAATTAAAAAGAGATTAAAGTCAATCAGACCCTTTTTTTTTTTCTTCTTGTCTTTCTATTCTCTCTCTCTCTCTCTAAAAATGTATTTAGCAGCTTCTTTCAGGTTCCCTTTTTGAGTTTTGAGGGCTCGAGATAATGCTTCCAAACAAAAAGGCATATATCAGTTTCTAATGTCAGTTTCTATATAATAATATTGTATTTGTATTTTAATCAATCTAACTGACCCATATATGAATGTTATAAAAAATTATGATATGTCATTTATTAGTATTTATGCAATCCCTTTTTGTGTACAAACAATATTGTGTGTCTTGAATCAGGGATTCTCTAATTTCAATGGCAATTGTTCGAAAAAGATTGATGAATGCTTTTAAGTTTGACTGATAGATTTACTACTATATATGACACGGGATTTGAGTTATGAGAATCATAAAAAAAGAAAAGATTTCCTACTTGCTATCTATCTCTATCTATCTCAAATCTTATAAATGGAAGTCGTGTGAACTGGATATAACTTAGCATGTGTTATTGTTCATATTTTTTTAGAAAGTACACCGACTAATCACTTGTTGATAATGATAACTAATTTCTTTTGTTGCAAATATGATCAAGTAGACATTATTATTGTTACAATTAGTAAAGATCGGATATTCTTCCAAGGTTATACAAGACTAATCTCAAGTTATGATCCAATAGATATGAATATTTGGAAATATAAGAACAGAAAAATTTGGGGGCAAAAGATCAATATATTGTCATCACTCTATTTATTGTAATCTCACTATTAGATCTTCCAACACAAGCACCTAAAGAGCATGAGAAACCAACATCCTCCCCTTCTCCACGGGCTGTTTAGTAGGAGTCATCAGTTGATCACACTCAAAAATAAAAATAAAAATAAAAAATCATCTTGGTTTGATCAATTTTAAGGAAGTAGTTAGAAAGTCAATTTATTGGCTAGAATAAGGCCCCCAAAAAATAATATTAGAAAAAGTTTATTTATTTGGTATATTTTTTAATTTTTTTTAAAGATTTTGCTTTTCGCAAAAAATGAATATGCCCTAATAATTTTAAGCCTTTTTATTTATCAAAATGAACTTTTTAATTGATAAATTGATTTTTAAATCTAAGGATATAGAGCCGACTAATATTGATTATACTTATCAAAGGATGGGCTTGGCCATTAAAAGAGATTATTTTACTCAAATTATTCTATTTATATTTTTTACTATATGTTATGTCCTTCAATTTGATTATATTTTAATTTTGAAATGGATGCTAATCTATTTAGAATATACTTTTCAAGTTATAGTGCACTCTTCACCTAATCTTTGATTGATGTAATCATTTCTGTATTTTTTAAAAAAAAAAATTAATATCATCAACAAATTTATTTTTGTCAATAAAAAGTGATGAAAATTAATTATTTTTACCAAATCTCACTATGACAATTTTTTTTTTTTGGGAGGGAGAGAAATACAAGAATCTTCCCACTTTGTGTCAATCAAGAAAAAGAAGCAATGTTTAACCCTGCTTTACTCTTACTCCATATCTCACATGCTAGGGTTGACCTCCACCAATTATTTTTCCTCTTCTTCCCTAGCATTATTGAGCTCTCTCTCTCTCTCTCTCTCTCTCTCTCTCTCTCACACACACACACACACACACAACACCAGCAGCAGCCAAATAAGAACAAAATGTCCCCAATGAAAAAGAGAAAAACAGTGATCATAAAAAGCACTTCATTAGGGGATTAGCAAGTGATCATGTCCAAAGAGACTCTCTCTTTAGAGGATCTTGGATTACATTGCTAGAAGAAGCAAAGTTGAGGTACTGTGGGAGGCTATTGAAGTTATTATTGCTGGATAAAAGGTCGTTATTATTATTGGTTAAAAGGAGTGATTTCTCGTCTGGGTCTATCTGTGTCATCGTCATCGGTAAAGCAGGCTCCTGCTGCATCTGGATGCAAAGCATCTCAGTTTGAGCAACTGCAAGCTGCATTTGAAGCTGTGACACTTGGTTCTGTAGGTAGGAAATGGCCCCAACACATCCATACACTGGGTCTCTCATTCGTGCATTTGCTTCATAAACTAAACTGCTCACCGCATCCCCTCTCTGATGAATTGGAAGCTCCTGTTGAATAATCAAATCAAAGGGAAAAAAATTAAAAATTATAGTTACATTGAAACGGTTAAGTCACCAAGAAACAAGATAGACACAACATATCGAAAAATAAGGTGTATGAAGATAGGCAAAACAAGATGTAGAATGAAAGAGATAATATTAGGAATGACAAGACAAGACTTGAACCTAAGATTTCTTAAAACCAAATTTCTTTTCTTTTTCTTTGGTCATGCTAAACCGAAGATGTTAAGTCACTAATTGTCTTAAATGTTAAAATTATTAAAAAATGATTTCAACAATATATAATCAAATGAAAAGGGGGGGGGGGGGGTATTATAGTTACATTGAAACTGTTAAGTCACCACAAAACAAGAAGATAGATTATAGTTACATTGAAATTGTTTAGTCACCAAGAAACAAGAAGATAGACACAACATGTTAAAAAACAAGGTACACAAAGATAGACAAAACAAGATGTAGAATGAAAGAGATAATAGGAACGACAAGTCAAGATTTGAACCTACGATCTCTTAAAACCAGAGTTCTTTTCTTTTTCTTTGGTCATGCTAAATGCTAAGTCACCAATTGTCCTAAAATGTTAAAACTATTAGAAAATGAGTTCAAGAATATATATCAAGTTAACATAAACAACCAGAAGCAAGAAAGTTATGTGTTTGAGCATATATATGAGTTTATATATATATAAATAGAGGAGGGGGAGAGACCTGCAGCATCTTGCTAACATTGCTAGCACCGAAGACCTTGTGAACAATGGCGAACTTGTGAGGGTCATCGGGAGGGAAGTAAGGGGCAAAGATGCAGTCCTTGGCGCAGCGGCGTCTCAACAACTTGCAGGAGGCGCAAGGCGAATTTCCACCCATTTTGGAGTCGGGATGAACCCTGGAAGGTGGAAGAGTGGGACTTTTCTTGGGTTCAAAGAGGGAGGAATGGAAATGAGGGAAAGAAAAAATTGCAGCAGCAAGTGTGGTGTTTAAGAGAATGAGCTTGCCATATGCCTATTTATAATGGCTGGTGAGATGTTAGCCTAGTGTAATGGATTCACATAATATTAAAATATTCAAAGCTAAGTTCCGATTAAAATCATGATTAACAATTAGAAACGGGAATGTGAGAGAAGACAGAACTTGAAGTTCGAAGAAAAACACTAATAATCTGTTTGTACATAATTTGGCATTTTTGACTTTCTATATGGCTGGCTATAAACGGTCGAAGGTGGAATATTTAAATTTGATTTAAAAACTTTTAATATGTATTTAAATTTGACTTTTTTATTTTTTAAATTGGTCTTAAACAAGTTTTAATCAATTTGAACTCAAGTATTTTTTTATTTTTTATTTTTTTTGGCACAATGCATACAAATCTATTAAATGGAATTCGAACTGAACTAAAAAATGAAAAAAAAAATTAAAATATATTTAAATTTGTCTTATTTATACAATGAACCAATATTAATAGAGTTTGAAGAATTGAATTCCTTTTACAGCAGTCAAAGAGTTTTTTAGTACGACTTTTCTCAAACTAAAAACTGATGATCTGAAAATAAAAACAAAAAGTACCCTTATCTTAACATTTAGATAAATAATTTTTTTAATTTATTTAAAATATATTTATTTTATAAGATATAAACAGAATTTGCACCAAACACTCCAACCAACATTTAAAAAATAATACTATAAACAAGAGAGTAACTCTCCCCATAACTTCATCTTCTCCATAATAACCATTAAGGCTTCATTTTGTGAGCCCGGTGGTGCCACAAGATAATAATTCAAACCATTCATCTTAAGTCTCAAAGAAAAAATAATATATACAAAAAAATAACTTAATTGAAAATTGATAAATACATTAACTAATCGTGTTTTGTTTTATGAAATTGACAGTACGTATGATTTTAAATTAAAATAATTTATTTTTTGAAACAAAATATGAGAAATTAGTATATTTATCGATATCCAATTAAACTAATTTTTGGTATATATATATTTTCAAGATTTACAAAATAAACAACATGAATTACCGTTATAAAGCTCCAGAAGACCCAAAAAATAGAGTTTTGATGGTTATGGCAAAGATGGAGTCCTAAGGAGAACTATAAACAAAAGTACACCAAACATTCTAACCAATATTTAGCACTCATTTAGGAAGAAGGGTTGGTTGGGTTCGGCTAAGTTTGGATCTATTTTAATTACAAAAAGACAAAATAGACTTTTTAGTCCAATAAGAAAAAATATCACATCCAAGTTATAATCATTTTATTTTTTCTCTCACAAAAGTAAAAAAAAAAATCAAAAAATCTATCCAAATGAGACTCTTTAGCCCTAGGCTAAAATAATCAATAAGTTAAAAAACTAACCCACTTTCCAAATCAACTCTTAAAAACAAAAAGTAAAAAGTGATAAACAATTCTAAAAATTACCCCAAACAGTGCCAAAGTGTTGGATTAAGGCCGTTAAGGGCAATTTGGTCATTTTAAGTCGGGGAAGAGATTGTTAGATGATTAGGGAGAATCAGAGAGGCGAAGGTTGACCACCGCCTAGGCGCGTGATGTGCTGGCGAAGATGGATCACCCGCCATGCAGTTGTAGTTTCCACCACCACGTTCTCTTTGACTCTTTAAAATCCTGCAATTCTATGTTCCACAACACTGGTATGGTATGGCATTGAGAGTTGTTGCACAGGACAAAGACTATTAATAGTGACTCGTTTAAAATTAAACGTTATTTTTTAAACAAACATTAAAAAAATAGATTAATCAACAACAACAAATTCTAGAGAAAGGTAACTAAGGTTAGATGTTTGGTAAATTTGTAATGCGCGGTGTTGTGTGATAGTGTGAAACGATGCGAAACCCTAACCTAGACCGAGAGAGAGATGGGCTCAACGTGAATGTTTGTTGGCCAACATTCACATGGAAACATAAATTGATACATATACATATGTCTCTCTCTCATCATGTGATCAACGATCACACCCTGCTATGAATAAACAATGCGAATACCAAGAGATATAAACCAAGTTCAACAATTCATGCTTTGTAAATGACGTAATTGCCCTTCCAAACATCAGCATGTGCAGGGATAGAATGGGAAATAAATGAATTAATTTAAACCACAAACAAGACCATGCATATATTCTGAGTATCTTCAAATTTCGTCGGGGCTTATGTAAAAGTCTTCTTGTTCATAAAAGAAAAATACTATATTGTCTTACTCTTACATTACAAAAAGTTTATGCATTAGACTTTTTATCAAAGACTAATAATAATTTTAAAAAAAAAACGTTATAAAAAGTCTAATACTTCATTAGTGAATTTTATTGCAATGCCTTCAACATTTTAAAGCAAAAGGTAGAAATTTGAATAAAACCAAAGTTATACTTATAGTCCTTAATGTTAAAATATTAATTTCTAACCAAGTCAAAATAAATTATGTAAAAATTAATAACAATTTTGAGTTATAGGGAAGGCCTTGCATAAATAAGTTCTCATGGCTGATGATACTCAGTTGCATTCAACCATCTTAAATAAAATATAAAATAAAATAATGCTACAATATTATTTTATGTATGGCTAATACATTAATTTAATGAGTCTTATTTTTCATGTCTGATACTAATATATTGATGACACAGCATATGATATTTAAGACTTAATATTCAAATTGGGTTGCCATGCAATTACTAAAAAAGAGTTTAAGAGCAACACATACTTGGTTTGTCAAATCTCTCTCACTCTTGCGACGAGGACACTCGGTCAATATTTATTTTCTTTCAATACATACACTAGATAAAATGATAAATTGTCATTTGCACCTTAAAAAAAAAAATTTAAAAAAAAAAAAAAATTCGTTGGTCCGCCATACTAAAAACATTTCCAAGTTAAATTTGTTTGGCAATCACAATACACTTTTAATGAGACATAATTTTTTTTTTTTCTTTGTTCTTTTTCTTTTTGTCCATGTGTTATTTACGAGCAAAACTCTAGCCTCCAAAATGCCAACCATAAGCAAGTTCAATTTTCTACATAACTTTATGAGACAGCCTTTGGTTTTTCTACTTTCAAAAAGTTTTTTCTTGAATAAAAATTTGCTATTGCCACCAAATTATCACTATCACCGTCACCGCTACTCCATTACTACCACCACCTCCTCCAACCTATCACTAATAATACAATCATTAATACATTAATTTTAGAGTAATGCTATAAACACTAATGTTGTGTTTGGTTGGGGAATTTGGAGAGGGATTTGGAAAGAGAAATGAAAAAGGTAGGTGAAATGTGAATAAATCATGCTTATATTTCACATAGTTTCACACACCTTTTCCCTTTCCCTTTCCAAATCCCTCCCCAAATCCCTCAACCAAACACACCATAATTAGTGTACCAACTAACACACTAACTAATACAATATTAGGTAAGACTATATTAAGTGATGAAACCTACATGTATTATTTTTATTAAGTGGTAAAACTTACATGTATGTCTTGTATCTTAATTAGTGTGTTAGCTGGTACACTAATTAGTATTTCTAACATTACTTATAGTTTTAAGGATGCATACAACTAAACATAGGAAAATAATTTTTTTTAAATATCATCTAAAAAAAAGTTTCAGTAAAAAATACAAATAGTGAGTACGAAAAAGAACAAGCAATAACAGAATATTAGCTCAAGTGGATGTACATAATATTAGCAGCCAATACATAACCCTAACTCCCCCCCCTCCCCACCCCCCAAAAAAATAAAATAAATATATATATATATATAAAAGGCATTTAAACTTCTTGTCCTCATCCTAGCTTTAAAAAAATCTCACTTCAAAACTTTAACTGTTTGCATGGATCTCTGTCATTACTTATCAAATAACACCATATATATTAGAGAAGCTCACGAGTAGTAGGAGTAAATATTAGATATTAACCTTGATTGTTAATTGTACAAGAGCAACAATTTTAAGTTGTGAAAGAAGGAAAAAAGAACAATGTTTGATTCATCTGCTAGATGAATTTTTTAAGTCATTCTCTTGTTAATTGCATCAAGATTACTGTCTTACAATCAAAACAATATGTATATATATAATTTATGCATAATATGACATATTTATGAGCCTATTAATTTAAAATTTTAAAAAAATCCATCAAAATGTCTTTTAAAATTATAACAATACCCCCTCCACATCAATCTCGTGAAAATTATGTATAATAATTATGAAAGAATAGCATTTTTGATGCATAAATGAGGGACAATGCAACAAATTAAACTCTAAATCCCTCCCCTCATCTTGACATAAAATAATAATTATTAAAGACTCGCCAAAAAAATTGATACATAAACTAGTTAATGAGTTCTGACATGAAGCTAAGGTCTAAGTAAACACAACAACATTACATTTTTTAATTTATCACCCCTAAATCACCCCTAAAGATGTGACATTGAGATTATACCTTACATGATGAAATATTTAATGAATCAAAATTTAACACTTGTCAAATACATAATTAAGAATGATTTTTAAAGGTAATAAATTAAGTGTCTCAAACATTTTTAAAATAATAATTAAAAAAAAAATCATTTCCGAATATCAAAACTAAATTTAGGGTTATAAAGGAAGCTGCTATAGCTAGCCATCTGATTCTCCATTGGGTTTGCATGAGCGAACGGTGTCACGTGACATGAGGCATGCAGGGCACCTATGAAAATCAATTTTAATCAAATTGTACTTATAAGAGTTGTATAGCACGAGGGTTCTGAATCAATCCCCCTAAAATTATAAGAGTTGTAGAACCCTAAGACCGATTCCCACTCTCTTGCATTTAATGCTCTCCACATGATTCCAAGCTTCTAATCTTCCATTTCGAGGAAAAAAGCTCCTGAATCACTGCCCTTTGTTCATCGCAATTATATAATATGTTTTTTAATCTGCACTTGTCTTATAAACCAAGTCTGTTTTTCTCTTGAGTCTTACCTTATACCACCCAAAAAAATTAAAATTAAAAATAAAGAAAAGAAACTAAAAAAATCAAATTACAAAAACACCCCTTGAGATTTTATCAAATTTAATTTAAAAAATAGTTTAAAAAAAAAAATAGTGTTGGGCTTGAGTCACTGAAACAAATGTTGCAATGAAATATTCATTCCACCTAAATATGTATTCTTGATTTTTTAGTTTTTTTTTTTAAAAAAAATTGCACATTTCAAATAGAATCACTATTCACCAATTAATTGAATTTACCAATTTAGGAGAATGGTAATTTCATTGGAAGGCTAAGGAAAAATCATTCTATTTCTGTCCAAAATAATTTTAATGAATCAAATACTACCTAAATATTTGATGTTAAATCACAATCAACCATATATTGTCAAGCAACCGTCAAGATTAAGAATATAAATTGATTGATGTTAGCATTCCAATGTCAAGCTTCAAGAATGCTTTTATATGTAGCTGAAAGATTAATGTAGCCTTAAATGAATGCTAAGTTTTCAACTATATGTTTGATTTTTAACTTCTTTTATATTATGTTTAGATAATGAACTTAGGTAAGAATTTAGAAAGGGTTTGGATCATGAATTTAAATAAGAATTTTTTTTTTAAATTATATTCAAATTCATGATTCAAACACAGTTTAATGCTACAGTTTCAAAGGCTATTTTAGTTTTTAGCCTTATGAAAAAGTATTACAAGATGATTTCACTACAATGGACCTTTTGATTTGAAATGAATGGACACAGTTATTATGTCACCTCATTTTGTATGGATTTTTGTACAAAATTTTTTGTTAAGTTGTATTTCATCACTCAAAAGTATTTTTGAAATTTGGCATGGCTAACATCTAGCTATTTTAATTTGACTTTAAATCTCTATTTTATTTTATTTTATAATAATTTTCAAATTTACAGGGATTTTTTATTTATGTTTTTGGTATTTTCATAAAGTCTGAAGGGCGGTTTTGTAAATGGGACACCTCCAATATTGAATTTGCGGAAGTGCATTACCTCACAAAACGCGTACATTCAGTTTTAAGTTTCAAACCCCTACGCTCTACTCTAGGAAGAAGAGAGACGGTGTAGTAGACAGGATGAGAACCTTGTAAATTTTGTTTGTGTGTGTTTTTACAAGTTTAATAATGAATAAAGTATAAGAAAAAACAGACATCTTTCACCGTCTTGGAGAAAATAAAACATGCTACCTCCAATGCAAGCATTGAATGCACTTGGTGATATGGAAGATTCGATTCTTGAGATGTGCATGGTTTTTTCAAATTCTAAAACATCGTGTATGTGTATGTGTGTGTGGAGAGAGAGAGAGAGATTATTAGAAGCATTCTTTGACGATGACAAAAGCTCTCTCTGGTAGGGTGGGTTTGAAGAGACAACACTTACCGGCTCGAACAGAGTGTGGCCTTGGATTTCCAATGCTCAGCATCAGAGAGACCTTCAATCCAATATGCAAGTCTTCCCCATTACCGTATCTGTTGAGAAGGAAAAAAAAAATACTAAATTAAATCAGAAGATTAGTGGTAGGCTCTCAACAGCACAAGCGATAGGCATGTGAGTGCATGGACAAGGGCCCATCCTAAATTGTTGCTGCATACTAACACTTTTTTAAGTTAGAATTAATTACAGATTCCCTAAGACTCATGTAGTAGCATCCTGTATTGAAATTTATAGTGCATGTGTATCTAGAACTTAAAAAATAAGCAAGCATGGAAATGCCATTTAAGTGCCTGTAGATAAGACTGTAAAACGAATATCAATTCATTACGTGAACAAGTCAGACATTCATATATTTTAAAACTTATTTAATTTTCTGAGCTCGGTTTAAACTCGACTCGATAAGCTTATATGTATTATAAAAACCAAACAACTCAAACTCAGTTTGATTACAGTCGTTTGAGATTAGTTCGAAAGATAAACAAACTACGTCTTGACACGATCTTGAAAGCTTGTTAATTTTTTCAAACTAAACTTGAACAACCTATTACTCACCTCACTCAACTCGTTTATAAACCTATCTGTTGGGGCGGACTAAAGCTGGACATTGGATATTGAAGCCTAGCCAACCAGATAATAATGCCTGATGAAGTATTTGAATCTTGGATTTTTGAAAGGATTTGTGGAGGGAAATGGAAGGGGGGAAAAAAAAAAGGAGATAGGCTCCCCCCCCGGCTCAGATTTCTTAAGCAAATTCAAGATATAAAAACAGCCTAAAAGAAAGTGAAATCAGACCGCTGCACCACCGAATTCGCTAGCCCAGTTCATGACAACCCCAGCATAACACCCTTAATTTGCCCACCCAAAAAACATGACTATTTTAAGATACCATTGGGTAGTCACAAGCACATAATTACATAATCTTGACGAAATAGGAGAAACTTCAAGAGAAAATACTATGAAATGAAATGAAATGAATTAATTTATGGCATGAAGTCCACAGAAAAGGCATGCCCAAACCCTGTGTGTCAGCCACATGAAGAGATTTCAGATATGTGATGTGTTAATATCATACACAGGTGACAAGGTGTCACTGACTGTCATCAAATCCTCCTTCCACTGAAGTAGGACCAACAATTCCAGAACAACAACATTTTGGTTTCTATTTAGATGAATGATACCTTCGGAAAAACCAGAGCCGTAATAACTCATTTTACATAATCAACCAATGTAGCTGCTGTTGGTGATGGATTCATGGCCCAAGATATGTAAGCACCTCATGATAGATTGGAATCTGGTTCACTAATAATCTGATTCATACTCTGGTGATCTCGCAGCTTTCGTACATTACGTTTCTTAATTCCATCTCTAAACAGAGTGCTTGCTGAACTTTGTGCTTCTTTATAATCCAAAAAATGTGGCTTTCTAGTCTCCACTGCTTTCTTTTTCAAGTACTCTGCTGTCTGCGCCTGAACTGATTTATTACCAAACAGCATTTGCAACAAAGAATTAATGATGTGATCAAAAAATCCTATTTATGTGCTCCAACATAGAACTTCAGTACTATATATTATCCACCAAAAGAGCAATAGAAGTCACAATAGACTATTAAAGGTGAGTAAAACACCATCAATACAGACTTATCACTTGCAAAATTTACTCATCTTAATGTGCTATGTCATTAGGACATGTAATAATCGAAGCTTCTCAAACAAAATGGTTCATCCTGCTATGGTACTTCCATAATTAGTTGTGAAAAATGAATAAGTGACTGGAATTCATATTTTGATATGAAAAACAATTACATTTACCTCTGAACTCAATTTTCATGCAGAACTCAAATGATATTACAAGTCAATTATGCGATGACAAAGTTAAAATCCATCTTAACTGTGCCGTATAGGTATACATAATGCAGAGTTGTAGTACTTCTGCATAGCTACTGCATAGACAGAAGTCTATACGCTAAAAGCATAGCTACCGCAACTAGTGGATTTTGATCATCTTAGACAGTAGAGGGATGAGTTTTGTACCTATATCCTTCTATAGGCATCCGCAGGTGGTAAGCCCATTATTCTTATACCTATCTGGGGCAGTTTGTAAAATGTAATGTTGTGAGGTCATAAATATTTCATGAAGGTTAACTATAGTATGCCTCCATATTTAGATAGACTATTGATTCCACAGTGTCAGATCTTAACCCACATAATTTTGTCAATGCAACACCAAGGAGTAAATCAATTTTACAACACATCCGAGCAAATAGAATATAGCGATCCCGGGTTTACCCTTATTGTACAGTGATCCGGACATGAGTCCGTGGATGTTGGTAGTTGTTTATTATCTTGTTTGCATCATCTTTACTTTGTATATTGAGTTATAGGATGTGTTGGGCAGGTTTGTTACAGGTTGGTTGTGTTTGGGAGCCTAGTGTTGCTGCCCAGATTTTTGGACCTTCGCTCGAGCGAGGAGTTGGTCGCTCGAGCGAGAGTTGAGTTTGTGTCTGGTGGATCGAGCCAGAGTGGCTTCGCTCGAGCGAGCGATTGCATCTGGTTCTGGACCTTTTTTTTTTTTTTTTTTTTTTTTTTTTCAAGGTTTAATGGAGAGCAGCCAACACCATCCTATCAATGCATTGTTGTACAAGCTTAAAGGGTTTGAAGGTATAAGACTTCGAATGTACCATTTGATGCTGTATCAAGTTGAAGCAACCAATCAATCCAAAATTAAGGTTCGGTCACAAATAGGGTAAGGTTGCAGGAGTCACCTAATCTATGCTTATCTAAACTAGACCTCAAAATGTAATTCAGTGAGGCTTGGTGGCTCGGCTCAAGCAGCCTGTACGGTTCCATTGATTAGCAACTCACCCATCTGGTTACCACAAGATGCAGACCATATAAAAACCAGAAATTGGAAACATCTGCACACAAGATTTCTATATGCTAGATGTTAGAGCAATTGATCTACATTTTTAGTCAGCATCCACATCTTACAAACCGAAGAATGACTCATGGCACGGGCTCAAAGCTGGCCAGGGCCAACAGCTTTAATGAATGAATTAATATATTAAAAAAATTAATACTGCAAGTGAGACGCACCAGACTGTGAAGCAGATGACACCACAGCAACATCCTTGAGTCTCTTAATTTTGCCAATAACTTCAACATTTTTGAAGAAATCATCTGTCTGAGGGTCAACCATACCATTAATTTCAAAGCATGCAAGTGCACTTTCACATGCCTGTAAAAAGAAAGTCAAAATTGAAAACCGACATAAGATGACCATACATCCTCAAGGCCAGGATGGTTTCTGAATAGAAAGCTCAAAACCATTACGTGCAATATAGAAAAAAATTGCCAACAAATATAGAACTAAAATTCAACAAAAGGAAGGAAAAACCAAATAGATAAATACTTGAAATTCAATACCTGAACCAGATTGATTTATTAGAATGAAGCAAAAGTTAAGCACAAATAAGCCATAGCCAGTTGAAGGAATTGTTTCTACTGTCAAAATATGTTTATTTGATAAGTTCTACTGACAATACATGACATGAGGATAACACAAAGTCCTAAGCTATAGGGAGGAGAAGATCAAATATGTTCTCCACGTTTACTTCAGTCCCCAACTTAAAGAATTTATTCATTCAAGATCAATAAAGGACAAACTATTGCTATCTATCCACACACGCACACAGAAAATCAGGAAAATGAAACTATGTAACAAAAACTAAGAAAAAGTCAAGCAAATAAATAACAACAATACAGAAATAATCAATCATGTCCATTTACATCAAAACCAAATCAAGTATGTAGAAAAATAAAAATCAAATTGTTATAGAATGTGTGAAAAAAATTCAAAGAAGTTTATTAGAAGTAGACCTCTTATGTGCATCTATTCTCCAAACAAATTTAGATTGTTCATTAACTGCTTTACACCTCAATAATTTAATACATAACCTCTGATAATTCGTGTACAACAGTTCAATGCAAACTAGATAGTTTTACCAGAGGACGTCATTCCACACTTCTCAATTTAAAACAAAAGACCATGAATGTTCTAAAATTTTTCAAATGTACAATTAGCACATCAACATGGAGACATGTCCAATTAAGCCAAACATTCAGTGTAGCTAATTGGCATCAGGAATAATACATTCAATTTTGCGAGACAATGTAAAACCAACAAAATGCACATTGACACAATGGTACATTCGTTGTTTAAAATTTATCTAAAACTACAAGTCTACAATATTGCAAGGATGTTACCATTCTAGCAATGGAGTAGAACCCGTTATTTAATGAATGCTCAGCAAAGGTCATCCATTCTCTGTATGAAACTTGTAGCCATTGGTTACTGGTAGACCTCAGTTGCCGCAGAAACAATGCTTCATATCTAAAAGCCACGCAACTCTGGAAGTAAATGAATGTGTCAAATACCACCCAAGATGCATTAAACGTTAATACAAAGTTATTGGCATTACATAAAAAATTGATAAGAGTCTGTTTATGCCATACATAGAGTCAATATAACTCAATGATGGTAGCATAAACAAATAGTAGAGAATAAACTAAATTAACATTTTCCTGTATATAAGTAGCCATAAAAGGCAAGCAGTAATCACTTTTAAATGTTATTCCTATTCCTAAAACCAATTCAATGAGTTGATGGAATAAAGTAAGTTTTTCCAAACAAAGCTGGATTTTTCTTCTGCTTTTTTTATACTTCTATAATAAGCAAATATAAATAAACTAACTATGAAGTAGACAATGGTTTTAAGTGCCTTTCATGTCAAGACCTAAACAGCTAAGATAAGGGCTATGAGGCTAGAATTCATGAAAGGCATGCGCTAGCAGTACTTTCAAGTCAAAACTATGACACATTATTACGCCAGGACATATTAATCAATGTAAATCGAAACAAAAAATGAAGAACATCAATGATTGATCATGAATATAAATTATATAATAACTATAGAAGATCAATTATAGTCGGAATATGTGCCTCACAATCACCGGCACGGGCAAAGACCTGAACCAAAAATTCAAGAATGAAAAGCTTATGCTCAATGGATTTATCTGCCATTTCACAACTAAAACATAGAGATAGCAGTACTTTCAAGTCACAAAAAAATTAAAAATTAAAAAATCAGGACACGTTGTACCATCGAAACAAAAAAAAAAAATGAAGAACATCGATGATTGATCATGAATACGAATAAAAATTATATAGATAACACTAGAAGATGAATTATAGTTTGAAAATTGCCTCGATATCGCCAACAAGGGCAAATGCCCGAACCAAAAATTCAAGTATGAAAAGCTTATGCTCAACGGATTTATCTGCGATTTCACGAATGATACAGAGAGATTCGCGTCTCGTGAACTCTCTCAAGCTCGATCGAACTTCAAGCAACGATTTCACATCTTTCGAAACCAAAATCGATTCGAGAATTCGTAGAGTTCCGTCGTCGAATCTGCGCAGAATCGAGAGGTGTTTGATCTCCCAAATGTGAGAAGTATAATCGAAGATGAGATGATAGAAACGAAGGAACAAGTTAGGGTTAGAAAGAGAGGAGCGAGAGTCACCTTCTGAGCTCGACGCGGGAGCGAAAAAGGGAAATTTGCTCTTCGGCTCCGCCGGACATGTTGGCGAGATTTGGCGGGTTGGTTTCAAATTGGTGTGGTTTAAATAGATTCTTGTTGGCGATCTTCCAAGTGGACCAATAATGGCTCACCACCTCAGCATAGAATACGCATGGGCTAGTGGATCACGAGTGTGGCCCAACTCTCTCAGGTCCAAACAAATAATGGACTAGTCTAGAGCTGTTCATCCAGTCCATTTATAGAAAAATTTGTTTTTTTCTTTTTTTAATGAGAAAATAATCTACCAGTGGTGGTTATAAAAAGTAATTACAAAAGAGTAATAAATATTATACATTTTAATGATTATCACTAAATAGTAATTTTTCTAATTTTTAATTATAATTGATTAGGTTACTTGCTTGTCACGTAAATTGTATTTGGCTTGTCTCTTTTCGTGATACGTGCTTAATAGTAATTTGATTCTAGATTTCCTTCGATTTTTAGGATTAACAGACTTCGCAGGATAATAACTTTGCATTGGGCTCGTGACATGCTTTGGTTGCTACTCCTAAGTAGGTTGTAGGCTTCAAAATCACTTTGTGGACTTGTACAAAAATGTTAATAGGCCTTTTTTTTTTACAATGTAAAATTTATTTTATGAAAATTTTTCTCTTAATATATATGTATATATATAGAAAGATGAAAGTTTATGCTTTTCTTTTTTTTCTGTTTTTTTTTTTTTTTTTTTTGCCAACTATAATTAACTGGAATCTAATATGAAATTATGGCATCAAACTAGTAAATGGTTTTGCAAACAATAATACTAAATGATTTACTTTACAGTTTGATGTAATTGTTATTAAATGTCAATCTTTGTACGTCATTCTTTCCAATAGTTTAATCAAATTAAACTCGTTATCGGAGTTTAAATCTGATTTGAGAACAATCATCAGAAAAAAAAACAAAATGTAGCACTTCAACCAACCCTTGGAATAGAAAATGAAGATGATGGTGATTGTACTTGGAATTAACATAAAAAATTCAACCAATTCACTTGGTTACTTCTGTCAAATATGCGATGGATTGTTAAAAGATGGATTTGAAATTAAAAAACAACAAACATTCTGAAAATTTAGTCATTTAGATTAAACTCACTTTGTTCAATTATTTATTTTAAAAAAAATCTTCTTTCATTGCCAGTTGGATGTTCATGCAACATCAACAACAAGGATCATTGCTTACTTTCTGACTTCTTTGCCTCGTTCACTTTCTTGTCCAATTGTTTGAGTTGATTAATAGTTTTCGTTATCCATTTCAGACAAAATGAAATGAACTAAAATCCTGATCATATCAAAGTGTATTATATAATCGAAACATACCTTAAATAATTGCCTTTTCATCTTTATTTTTTCATGCTTTCTACCTTTGTTATTATTGTCTCTAAAATGAGTCCACTTCCCGATTCAACACATTCGAACTTATGTCATAATTGAAATGACTAGTTTTTTGTTTTTTTTGTTTTTTTTTTTTTGCTGAAAATCTTGTTTTGAACCCAAAAACATCAAAATAGAAACGTCTTTAAAAAAATTAATTTCAAAATTATATTTTAATATTTCAAATTATTTGAAAATACATATAAAAACTCAACCAAAATTATGCCAAAGCAACACAACACAACGCAACACGTATCAGCATTCAGCACAGCCAAGCGCTGATTGGAAACACGGGGCTTTTCTCATATTAAGCCTCTTTTGCATTTTATTTCCCAAACTAGGCCTAGTTTGGACGGGTTTCCCAAACTAGGCTAAAGCGCTATTATAAATCGCGCTTTCACTGTTTGGAGTCCAAAATTTGATGAATAGTGAAAGCGCTATTGTAAAACGCGCTTTTAATTAAGAAATCGCTGTTTCAAATCGCATTTTTAACATAAAATTTTTTTGTGAAGAAAACGTTATTTGAAATCACGCTTTCATTGTGCATATAAATTTTATTTTTTTTAGAAAACGTTATTGCAAATAGCGTTTCTACTGTTGAAACAAAAACCAACCCACACTTTGACACACACACACCCACACACAAGCATTGAAATAATATAATTTTTATAATTTTCGTAAATATAAATCATTTTTAAGTTATAGATGGTTTGATTTATAATACGTATGTAAGGGTAAAAATTTTTATAATCAAAAATAATTTTTGCAATTTTTATAATCAAAAATAATTTATAAATTATTAAAAATAATTTATAATACGTATGTATTATAAAAATTTTTATAATAATTTATAATACGTATGTATTATAAAATTAATTTTTATATATTTAAATATTTACTTTAAATAAATTATTAATAAATATATAATAATTATTTTATAAAATAAATTATTAATAAAATTTTATAATACGTATGTATTATAAAAAAATTTATAATAATTTATAATACGTATGTATTATATATATAATTTTTATATATTTAAATATTTACTTTAAATAAATTATTAATAAATATATAATAATTATTTTATAAAATAAATTATTAATAAAATTTTATAATACGTATGTATTATAAAAAAATTTATAATAATTTATAATACGTATGTATTATATATATAATTTTTATATATTTAAATATTTACTTTAAATAAATTATTAATAAATATATAATAATTATTTTATAAAATAAATTATTAATAAAATTTTATAATACGTATGTATTATAAAAAAATTTATAATAATTTATAATACGTATGTATTATATATATAATTTTTATATATTTAAATATTTACTTTAAATAAATTATTAATAAATATATAATAATTATTTTATAAAATAAATTATTAATAAAATTTTATAATACGTATGTATTATAAAAAAATTTATAATAATTTATAATACGTATGTATTATATATATAATTTTTATATATTTAAATATTTACTTTAAATAAATTATTAATAAATATATAATAATTATTTTATAAAATAAATTATTAATAAAATTTTATAATACGTATGTATTATAAAAAAATTTATAATAATTTATAATACGTATGTATTATATATATAATTTTTATATATTTAAATATTTACTTTAAATAAATTATTAATAAATATATAATAATTATTTTATAAAATAAATTATTAATAAAATTTTATAATACGTATGTATTATAAAAAAATTTATAATAATTTATAATACGTATGTATTATTTAAATCTTTACACTTCACCCAAAATTCATTAGTTATTGGTGAAGTTACAAAATTTTGCCATAGAATTTGCAAATGAAATGTTTGACTTTCTTGATCATGGATTTGTTGTTTTACTATTTTTCCATTCCATGTTTAAGTGAGTGATATTTTACATGATTGTGTGCTAGGTTATGTGGAGTCTTTAAAATAAATCAAATACCCATGTCAGACCCCTGACACTTGGACGAGGGTGTGGAATATGAGTTTGATACTTTTCATCGGATACTTCTTATTTGTTTTAACACTATTATTATATGTGTATATTGTTGTATATTTGCTAATGATATATTTGAACGAATTCTGAGTTTGCAAATTGTTCTTAGGCCAAGTAATCCTCAACTAAGAAGCACAAACACTTCTAAGAATGTTAGACACCAATATTACACATTACTCATTGGACACTTCTTGACACCTAGCATGTCCAAATATGTGCTACTATTATTTAAAATTTTCTAGACTCGGTCACGCTTAAGACACTTGAGGAACATGTGTCTATCATTTAGACACACATGAAACACATTACAAGTTTGAATAAAATAATTTGGAATCTACATATTCTTCTCCTTTAGACTATAGAAATTAGTATTGCTGCATGTTGTTATTATCTTTTAGTTAAATATTCAATACATGGATGGTTTGATTTATCATTTATCAAAAATTTTACCCTTAAACCATACGTATGTAAATGTGAAGATGGGTTTACTGTAAATGTAAATGTGAAGATACGTATTAAATTATTTACATACGTATTAATTATAAATTTTTATAAATTATTTTTGAATAATACATACGTATTATAAAATGTGAAGATGGGTTTACTGTGAAAAATTTTAAATAAAAAATGTAAAGATTCAAATAATACATACGTATTATAAATTATTATAAAATTTTTTATAATACATACGTATTATAAATTATTTTTGATAATTTATAAATTATTTTTGATTATAAAAATTGCAAAAATTATTTTTGATTATAAAAATTTTTACCCTTACATACGTATTATAAATCAAACCATCTATAACCTAAAAATAATTTATATTTACAAAAATTATAAAAATTATATAATTGATTATTATAAATTATTATTATATATAAAAATTATATTATTTCAATGCTTGTGTGTGGTGTGTGTGTCAGAGTGTGGGTTGGTTTTTGTTTCAACAGTAGAAACGCTATTTGTAATAACGTTTTTTTCAGAAAAAAATTTTTATGTTAAAAGCGTGATTTGAAATAGCGATTTCTTAATTAAAAGCGCGTTTCACAATAGCGCTTTCATTATTCATCAAATTTTAGACTCCAACCAGTGAAAACGTGATTTGTAATAAGACTTTAGTCTAGTTTGAGAAATTCGTCCAAGGCCTAATTTAAAAAACACGATACAAAAGAAGCTTAGGCTTGGTTTGGAATGATCTAAATAAGTGTACTTTTTAACTTTTTACGAAAAGATGTGCAGAAAAGTAGAGAGGTGATGTGATGGAAAAAAGATAAAAAAATAAAAAGTGTGTACACCCCAAACAAGGCTTTAATATGGGAAAAGCCGCTGGAAACACGGTAGCAGACTAATAAAAGCCGAAAAGCCAGTAGTAGGCACAGAGAGACAATCACAGCGGTGGAGAAGATGGCCAGAAGAAACTACCTCCCTCCAAATGCCTTACAACTCCGAGACATGCCCTTCGAAAGGGCACCTCTCCCCGGACTCCACCCTGCCCTAATGAACGACCCTCGCCTCCTCCACCGCCTCCCCGCCCCTCCTCCTCCCTCCGCCGCCGCCGCCCTACTCGAAGACCGCCACCGCGAAATCCAATCCCTCCTCCTCGACAACCAGCGCCTCGCCGCCACCCACGTCGCTCTCAAGCAGGAGCTCGCCGCCGCCGAGCACGAGCTCCGCCACCTATCCGCCGCCTCCGCCGACATCAAGGCCGAGACTGACGCTCAGTTGCGGGAGGTCTATGAGCGATCGCTGAAGATGGAGACCGAGGTCCGCTCGATCGATTCTCTCAACGACGAGCTTGCTCAGGTGAGAGCTGATATACAGAAATTGAGCGCCGCGAGGCAAGAGCTTAGTGTTGAGTTGAAAGCGATCGACGGCGACCTTGTGAGGGCTCACTCGGAGTTGCAGCAATGGGATGCTATTAAAGCTCAGATTGAGACCATGCACCAAGAAATTCAAAGAGGAAGGTCATATACAACTCATCAATCTCTCTCTATATCTGTGTGTATGTTTATAATTCAATATTCATAGCAAAAGATAGTTCGATTTTTCTCTCAAAATGGAGTTATTCGATTTAATTTTTCAAAAAAAAAAATTAATTTGTTGCATTTGAAGGTGCAAATCCATGTATTTAATCATTGGAGAAACACATTAAAAGTTCACTTTCTCCGAGGGCAACAGACACATTGTGATCTTGGTTACTGGTGGACTTACTTTTTGTTGTTATTTTCAAATGATTTCTATGCATCTTTTGAATGCAATCTATTCATACATTTCAATGCATTAGATCAAAGTTTTGTCATGTATAGCTTACTACATCATCATCATTCATCGCATTTAGTGTTGCATTAATATAACTTATAGAGGTATATTTATGTAATTGATGTTTACCACATTATACATTTTTCTGCCACTTTTTGGCCTTTTTTTTTCTGATTTATTTGAGTGTTGTAATCGGTTAATGAATACGAACAGGGCTGCTATTGAATATGAAAAGGAGGCACATGCTAGTAACCTTGAACAAGGTGAGGCAATGGAGAAAAGTATGATCTCCATGGATCATGAAATTGAGGAACTACGTGCCGAACTTGCTAATGCAGAGAAGAGAGCAAGGGCAGCTGCTGCAGCAGCTGCAGCAGAGACTCCAAGTAATTTATCTCAAACTCTTTGTTTGTTGTTTTTGTGCTGTGCTTGGTTTGATGCAATGTTCAACATCAGGAATTTGAATGTTTTAGCACATCCAAACAGTGAACTGTGAGAATTGTTCATATGCAGGTCCTGGATATGCCGCAGGGTTTAGAAACCCTGAAATGGGGTATGGTGGGAGTTCATTTCCTGATCCTTATGCTTTGCATCAGGTATGTGCTGATTGATGTTTGTCTCTTCCATATATACACATATATATTATCTTTACCTAAATGTGGTGTTTATTCTAAATTGTCCTTGTTGGTTTGATGTAGGGGAAAATAGATAATTTAGAAAAATTATGCTGCTTACAATTGGTGTTTACAGTGGGCTAAGTTTGTGGAAAGCTCATTAGTTTAGGATTTTAATTGATGAAAAGCAATCGTAGGGTTTATTGAAGGGAAGCAATGGATTCTGGCCATATTTTGGAGCGTCAAGCTACTAGACTTTGAGTTGCTACAGATTGAAGGCAGCAAGTAATTATAGGGGTTTTGTGAAAACTAAGGACTAGACAATTGGGAAAGGAATATAGTTGATTAGGGCTTGGTACGTTAGGTTTTTGGTGATGAAACTAAAGGCAAACAAGGTTTGTAAGGCCTATGATCAGTACGAGGTTGGGCTTATTAAAGAGGATTTCTGGGAATAAAGATTGGTTTTAGGGTCTGGTTGTTGAGCAACATGTAGAAAATCAAAGCAGAAGAATAAAAAGAGAACGTAGGAATTTCATCTATGATTCTCTATGCTTCACTCCCCAAGTTAAGGTACATCGAACAACAAATCTTTTGATTGGAAAGGTTAAATGGTTATATATGATACTTTTATTGTCTGACTTAAGAAATAGGAAAGCTTGACTCTTTGACTATTAAGATAAGATTATTTGACCACATAGATCATATATCATAACTTGACCTTTTAAACAACCTATGGGTTATTGCTATAGCCCATGTCCAGCGATTTAGAAGTTCACCAAAATACCTCTTACTCATGAAACCTTGGGAAACATAATAAAATTGTTCAAGCAACATATAGACCTGATATAAATATAAAATAGAACTGAATTCACTGTCATGGATATCCCTTTTGGCCAGAAGGCCTTCTTTGAGTATTATGCGATGCATAGGTTTTGTTTGGCCTTCTAAAGTTGATGTCTTATTCAACCAAGCCATGGCTACCAACATCAATGTTTCTATCAGTAGTTGAGCCATTACCAATGTAATCTGCATGAACAAATCTTGTAGTGTTTAAAAAGGAAATCACACTCCCTTCAAAAAAAGTGGTAACACAAGTATTAAAATTGATTTTGTGACTGCTAGTTTTTCTTAATAATTGATATTTCTTAACATAAGGAAATCACAGATGTGTCCCCGTACCTATACTCAAAAATGTTATTTGGAGTTTCGTTGTTCGCACTTGTTTTCCTACTAGGGTTTGTTGGGGGACTCTATGAGGCCTTTGTGTCATCAATGTCGATTAATGTCAGGATTTTTTTTATTTTCATTGCTTTCTGATTTTTTTTGTTTTGTTTTCCTTAGTTTGTAAATTCTTTTTGTTTTTTGGGTCATGAGTTTTGACAATCAACATATAATTTGACTCATTTTAGTAACCACTGGTATTAGTGCAAACACGCAAAGGATATGACTGTGGTTGCAATGAAAATATCAAATGGTGAAAAAAGATAAGAAGTTTTTCTGATGGCATAAACATAAATGCTCTCTATAATTTGATGATTATAGGAATATCGATTAAGCATATGTTCTTTAAATCATAACTCTTTTAATTTGCATGCATCATTATACCAACTACGTGAATGATAGGACCCCACCGCAGGGGGTGCCAGTTTCCGGATGGAAATGGCTGTATATTATGTTATACTGCCTGATTTTTACTTGCTTGTGAGAGACAGCCAGCAGATCCAAAGTTAGATTTCTTATAAATTAAGGCTGAAGTGCAGAACTGCATTTTTACTCCCCTTCTTTTTAGCTAGACCCACAGCCAAGTTGCATTTTTCAGCTTTCAGAATCCTTTATCTGTCATTACGAAATCTAGGATATTAGATTTGGTTGTTATCCTTTTCACTCTTTAGTTAGGGATTCTTTAGACCTCCCACATAATCCACATGAGCAGTTGTGCATCCTAAATGGTTAACATTTTATCTGATAACGAGACATACAAGAAATCATTAATTAGCTGAATTTGTTGGTTGATAGGACTTTTATTCTTTTAATAATAATTAGCTCAGTGCCTACTCTTGTTTTAACGTACATTTGCAAGTATTTCAGACTCAGAACTTTCTCCCAGTACCACAATGATGCTTCACATTTTGAGAGACCAATATCCACAGCAAAAACGACCATGATGCAGGGTCTGCTATTCAAGCCTTGCATTGCTATCAAGTGTTTGTTGCACTTTTATACAACATTGGGAACATATATTGTGTTTGTTAATAGGTTGATGTTTTTTCCGCTCGCTAGACAACTCTGTCAATAGCATAGGTCTGTCTCATCATAGTCGTTAATAGCTTTTCTCATTGTCCTGGCCCTTGTTTTTAATGTGTTCTTCTTGTCATGGTTTCCTTTTAGCATTGCCAACTTGAATGAAGTTTCTACACTTGTTCTCCCTCCTTGACAATAATATTCTTAATTCCTTTTTCTTTTTTTCTTTTTTTTTTTTATAACTCGGTATCCGGCCCATTGGACCGAATTCTTATAGCATCGTATTTGCAAATAAAACCAGGAAATTCATACAATTCTTTGCTACTATATTTTTCCTTTTTTTGCATATTAGTGGCCTAATAGTTGAATGAGTGACATTATTGGCAGAGAAAGCTTTTCTAAAGTTAAAGTGTCGTGTAATGTTCACTTTCTCATTGCTGCGATGGCTGCAGTAGTATATCAATTAAACTTCCATACAACAAATACCAGAAGTAGATGGAGAACTAATGTTGGACTAACTTAAATATCTTATTATTGTGTTTTCTCTATTACAGGTTCAAGGCAGTTCTGAAGCTGGTTCGCAGTACAGTTCTGCAACGGCACCTCAAGGCCCTTATGACATGCCATGGACTCATGTACATAGATAAGCGCTCAATGCACACCAGAATAGCATGAATTCAAAATTATATTTCGCGGTAAGGTCACAAAAGAGCCATTTTTAAGTTATTAGCATTGACTTGGGAACAATCCTGCCAGTAAGATTGAATCTTTTCATACTGAAAGATTCCATGAAGTCCATATTTTGGAAATGCAAATTTCTCCCATCTCTGAAAATTTGATAAGCATTATGTCTATGCCCTTAAGTCAATACTGAGGTGAAAACATGGCTTTTGTTTCTCTTTTTCCAGTTTTCTTTTTGTACTAGTGTTTAGGATCTGTTTTGCTTGGTTTCCCGGCGTTACTTTGTTTGGTGTGTAGGCTTATATATTTTGAAAGGTTTACCAATATCCAATTTTGTTGTACAAACCGAACTTCTGGTTTTGTTTCATTCTATGAGAATGTTATGATGAGACATGTGGATGTGGGTTAATCAGTCATCTAATTCTTTAGTCAATGCTTTAAATCCATTATGTGAACTGCACGAGAAGAGATTGTCATTTTACTTTTGATGATCCATTTGCATTTATCAAAAATTTGACTTGTGGTTTCATTGCACCCTTTGCTACTACAATGTTCTTTGAAGCGCTACTCCATTTTTGAGATTGGGTGTTTTGAAATATATTCTTCAACCATTAACAAAAAATTTAACTTCAAGTGAAATAAATGGTCACAATCTCTCATAAACGTAAACTGGGGGTTATCTCAATTCTTCAACCATTAACAAAAAATTTAACTTCAAGTAAAATAAATGGTCACAATCTCTCATAAACGTAAACTAGTTACTCTCTTGTTAAAAAGAATAAAGAAGAATATTGATTGATTTGTTAAAGAGAAAAGTTTAAAACGATTCGTGAGGTCTTAAATTTTTCATTCAAATGCAAATACGAAAGTGATATTGTATATAAAAGTTAATAACACCTTGTTGGTCCTGAATGATCATCAAAATATTTTGTGAATTTTTTTTAAAAAACATATGGAGTTCTGAACAAATTCAAAGAATAAGAAAAGATTTTATTTGAATTGTGTTTCAATGACTTGCAATGTTGTTTTGTGCTAAGAACAAAATCTTTAGGTCACAACATCCATAAAAAGTTTCAAACATTGTATGAAATTTCGCTTTAAAAAAAAAAAAAAATTTGTATGAAATCATATATTCAAGCCTAAAGTCACTTTTCACATCATGACAATTCCTCTTTTTCATTTTCAAATTTCATTAAAACTCCATTTTATGACCCTCTAAGAGGGCCTCCATAATAAGATCATGTGACTAAATTAATTAGGAGTGTCAATTTCTTGAAATAGTTGGCATTCAGAAGATTTTATTTACCGTGAATGTATACTTTACTCATTTGTTTGTTTTATAAACAGTGAGTTTGTTAATTTTATAATTTTCATTTGTTAGCACTAAGGAAGGCTAACGGTTTATTTTAGCATATAAAAAATGAAGTCACATTTCTTTCTCCTTTTCCTTTCATTTCTATTTCCCTTTCCATTTCCCTTCCCAAATCCCCCAACCAAACACAGCGTAAAACTCCATTTTATGACCCTCTAAGAAGGCCTCCATAATAAGATCATGTGACTAAATTAATTAGGAGTGTCACTTTCTTGAAATAGTTGGCATTCAGAAGATTTTATTTACCGTGAATGTATACTTTACTCATCTGTTTGTTTTATAAACAGTGAGTTTGTTAATTTTATAATTTTCATTTGTTAGCACTAAGGAAGGCTAACGGTTTATTTTAGCATATAAAAAATGAAGTCACATTAATAGTTTCTGTAAAAAATTTGATCGTATAGACAATTCAACAACACTTAGACAATAATTAATTAAAAATTTAAAGCTAACACAATGTACATATATAGAGAGAGAGAGATAAATTATACATTTACATACACATTCTCTAACATAATTTACAAAGCTAGTGACAATTTTCTTCACCCCCACTTGGTTTTGACTTTTCAAAAATAATTTTTAAATTTTTATTTTTAATGAATTTTTCTTAATATTTTAATCACTTATTCTATTTTATTTTTAAAAGCCGCATTTAATCTAAATGTAAAATTTTCAGTAAATAAAAAATATATAAACATTCAATACATTTTCATTTTTTTTTTGTATTTATTGAATTTTTAAAATATTTCTTCACAAATATTTTGATATTTCACTAAATAAAAAAATACAAAAAAGAGTACATTTTCATATTCTTTTTATATTTATTGAATTTTCAAAACGTTTTTTCATTAAACAAAAAAAAATACAAAAAATTTAGTAAATTTTCTTTTTTCTTTTTTGTATTTATTGAATTTTAAAATATTTTTTCACAAATATTTTAATATTTCACTAAATACAAAAATTCAATGCATTTTTATTTTTATTTTTATTTTTATTTTTGTATTTATTAAATTTTAAAATATTTCTTCACAAATATTTTGATATTTCACTAAATAAAAAAATACAAAAAAGAGTACATTTTCATATTCTTTTTATATTTATTGAATTTTCAAAACGTTTTTTCATTAAACAAAAAAAAATACAAAAAATTTAGTAAATTTTCTTTTTTCTTTTTTGTATTTATTGAATTTTAAAATATTTTTTCACAAATATTTTAATATTTCACTAAATACAAAAATTCAATGCATTTTTATTTTTATTTTCACAAATATTTTGATATTTCACAAAACAAAAAAATACTTTCTTCACAAATATTTTGATATTTCACTAAACAAAAAAATACAAAAAATAGTACATTTTCATATTCTTTTTATATTTATTGAATTTTCAAAATGCTTTTTCATTAAACAAAAAAAAAAATGCAAAAAATTTAGTAAATTTTCTTCTTCTTTTTTTTTTTGTATTTATTGAATTTTAAAATATTTTTCACAAATATTTTAATATTTCACTAAATACAAAAATTCAGTGCATTTTTATTTTTATTTTTATTTTTATTAAATTTTAAAATATTTCTTCACAAATATTTTGATTTTTAAATACATCTAGATTAGATGCTTTTAAAAATAAAATAAAATAATTGACCAAAATATTAAGAAAAAATTCATTAAAAATTTAAAAAATATATACAAATTAAAAACTTCAAAACCGAACAGAATTGAGTCCCATATTTTACTTTCTCATCTTCATAGTGGATTCAAATTACCTGATCTACATGAGATCCTAAGTCCATAGATTGATTCTTTCGATATCATTTTCTCATTGCGTTACAAAGTTTTACATTACTTTTCCTGCAGAAATCCTTTGCCAAAATAAAACACAAAGTAAAACACAGAAATCACTGTACTCATCGATGGAAACTTGCATATAAAACACAAAGTAAATGCACATTTTAAATTAGATATCAATACCTACATAACATACAAGTCTCATATATCTACGTACACGTACTTATCTATAGAGTGAATAACAAAGGAGAGCAAGGGACTACACCCTGAACACCCCATAGATCATGCGCCTTCTCTTCAAGAGCATACTCCTACGCTTCATGGTCTTCATAACATATGTACACTTACGGCTAGGGTTTTTGGATTAGAGAGAAAACAGGTTGAAAAGAGAGTATTAACTTGAATATTTCCTTTTTAAAAGCCACAAATCATGCCTTTTGAAAATCACAAATTAAGGAATAATTATTAGTTTTAAATAATTTACTAAATGGATTAGCCAATAGTTTTTTTTTTTAATCTTTTCTTCATAAATTTAAAAAAATCGACAATTCTAGTACGAGGGTTTGGAGCACCTAGAAAGCTCCTCATTAGAAAGCCCCTTTTGCTTTATACATAGATAGATGCAATTTAGATGGAGCAAACACTCACCTGAAAATTTCAACCTACCTTAGCAGCAATTTGGAGAATATCCACTTGTCTCTATAAAAACATTCACACAGTTCAAATCAATCCCAAACTTAAATATAAAACCCCCTCCATGTAGCAGAAGATTAAAAAGGAGAAAAGGGGCATTGCTCAGAGTAAGTGAACAACCTACCATTGAACAACCTACCTCTTTGTCTCCGGTATGAGGACAACCCCGCAAACGGAATTTTAATTAAATCACTTCAAACACAATATTTAGTACAAAAATTGCTCCTCTGAACTTCAATATGGGCGAGCACGGTTTCCACCACGATTATTTCTATCTGGACCTGATCCTCCACCATCTCTGTAATTGTCTCTGCGTCTGTCTCCACCACCCCCATATCCTCCACCTCTACCGCCTCTACCACCACCCCTGTTGTTCAATCAATTAGTCAATAGAAAATAAGTCCCCACGAAATGCATTGGAGAAATGCATTTATATTTTAATAATCTTTCATTTTAGTAAGATGGCACCTTCCCCCCGTAATTACAGCAATAACACTTCAGTCCTAGAATTACCTCAACCAGAAAAGCACATCATGCCTCATCCACAGCAATGCATACTAAGAAACTTTAAAATGTGTATAGTTGCAGTAATACAAAGACAGAAATACCATAATAAATTACCACCACACTTCTGATGACATGAACAGGACAAATACACTCCATAATAAATTACCATCAAAACAAATACTCTCCATAACAAATTACCAACAAACCTTTGATAACAGACAGAAATTGAGCAAAGCTATCGGTAATAAACATGAATTACCCTTCACACCACCTTAGAATGAAATTTAAATACTACATCAGTGAGTGGTGTTCAGTATTGTACGGTACCTACTTTGATTTTCTTTTTTCTATCAGTGCCTACCCTTAATATTACTGTTAAAAAGTCTCTATATTTGGATCCACAAGTAGCTAATTTGAGATGCCAAAACAATATCAGTAAAGATAAAAATAAATCTAGATGGCACATCATATTTGCAAAGCCTTGAAAGCTACCAAAAACAAAAGTTAGATAGAAATTGACAACACTTGGAAGTAAAACTATTGAAATCCATTTTGTACATTCTCTTCAAGATATTATGACAAATGGGGAAAACTTAATGCAATAGACATTATAAAATGTCAAGTCTTATTCTAAAATCCTTGAAAAAAAAGTCTCAAGCGCACATATAAAGAAAGACTTTAAAAAAAATTAAAAAAAAAAGGCAAAGAAAATCTCAACTACTAGAGAAAGTATACATCTAATTTAAAATAAGATGGAAAACATACAACAGAAAGTAAAGTATACATCTAATTTTAAAATAAGGTGGGGAACATACAACAATGATGTGCTTTTACATAATCCACATCAGGCCTATGATTTATAGAAAAGCACACTAGAATAACAACTATGAAGCACGGATACTTCAAATAGGGCGACGTATCCGTATCATATCCGTATCGGATACCGATACTCCTCGGATACTCGCGGATACGTATCGGATACTTATTCAAAGTATCGGATACTTCTTAATTATTTTTTCATTAATTTTGGAGTATCGGATACTTAACTTTGAAGTATCGGATACTCCAAGTCGTGTTTACTTGTTTTATGAAATTAGAATTGTAACATTTCTTGCATAGTAATATAATACAATATAATATAATATAATATAATTGCAAGTATAAATATAAGAATATTTTTCTAATACTTTGTTAAGTTCTTCGATAAGAAGAGCATAGTGAATTTATAGAAAAGCACACTAGAATAACAATGACAATTATATTTCAAAATAGGACTATCAAACAAACAAAGAGAACCTAAAGCTTGAACAAGACTAGTCAAGTTGGAGTTGAGCTTAAGCTAGATAAACTAAACCAAGAAGGAAAATTTTATAGACCCTAGCCAAATAGGTCACAACAAACAAGGTACAACAGTAAACATTTTTACCAAGTTTGAGTTGTGCTTAAGCTAGATAAGCTAAATCATCAAAGAAAACTTTTGTAGACACTAGCCAAATAGATCACAAGTTCACAACAAATAAGGTACAACAGTGAAAATTGTTATCCCATTGGATAGAGGGGATGACTACAACTAGAGACACAGTTACTAGAATGAAAGATCAAATAACATTTTGAAAATTATTAGATCAATAGCAATATTAGCAATCACCTGAAGGAACTAAAACATGACTGCAAATATCCCTTCCCTCCAGGAATTTATTAAAGTCAGATTTGAATTCAATATATATCTCAGAAGCAATAAAAAAAACTAAAATGTTATATGGATGGATGTAAGATGATTTACCAGCCACCAGATGCAGGAGGAGCCTTTGGAGCAGACTTCTCAGCCATCGCAACACTTATTTTGTAACCCCTCAAGTCATGACCTGATAAGGAGAATTTATGACAGTATTTAACAAGAGACCAATAGTTCAACTTCAAGTTCAGACATTTTATTTTGAAGCATACCATTATAAAAACCGCCAGCACAATGTGCTGCAGATGGATCTTCATAAGACAAAACTGCATCTCCTTTGTTGTTTCCCTGCTCGTCTGTGTATATTTTGATATTCCAAGGCCATTGGTCCTTAAAGCCTCGCTTTTGCTTGATTTTCCCGACCTAAGTTTTAAAGGTAGCATTAGCATCCCATAAACATCACTGCCACATTCACTGAATGCATCAACAACATTCTAGTCACTGCACGCATCTTTAACTATTCTATCACCCAACAATAAATAAGTAAATAAAATAAATCTACTACAATGACCTTCATCTATGACTATGCCCAAGACTAGACAATTCAAAACATCACAGTTTCACTTATTGTTCTTCTCTATGGGAACCAACTCACCACTAATGCCTCCCAAATATCAAAATGATACCAAGAAATGTGGAAGAGGATCTGTAGAAAAATACTCTACAAACAAAACAATGGTACTTGACATGCGGAGAAGAAGATACATGAATTTTACAAACAAAAATATCAGGAAATTCACACTGTAAGATCCTTAGAAACTGATGGGTGGTCTCTGAATCGCATGAAATATCATGAGTTATAGCAACATAAAATCGGAATGCAATCAAATCAAAAGGTTAAAAAAAGGAAATTTGAAAATTACTTGTCCAATGCCTCCAAAAAGGTCTCTCAATTCATCAACAGTCACATCTGTAGGCAAATTTGAGATGTAAATTCTTGAGTTGTCACAGGAATCCCCACAATTATCATCGCATTGCTTCACCGTCACAGGAGCCTCAACAGGAGAACCACCTCCAGAGTTTCGTGGAGCACCACCATACCCACTATCATATCCACCAGATCGACCACCACGCCCACCATTACGTGCATCACCTATAGCATCACCTCCATAACCAACAGGGGCACCATATGATGGGGGATATGAATTAGGCCCACCAGTATAGCTTGTAGGTGGAGGAACTGCATCTGTTCCATAATTAGGGTTCCCTCCGTAAGTGTTCGGAGGTGGTGGGTAACTGCCGCCAGACGCACCATAAGATGGGGGTGCAACCTGAGAAATTTGGCCATACCCACCCTCATCTCTTCCTTGATTACCACCATATGAACCACCTCTACTGCCTCCACCACTTCCACCATCATAATTATCAACTCTACCACCTCGGTCACCACCATGTCCTCTATAACTGCCGCCACCACGATCTCCAGAACCGGCAGGAGAGGATGTCCCACATTTGTTGCACTCAACTCTTCTTGCAAAGTTCAAATTCCCACAGCTACAACAACATATACCAACTTCAATAACATAGAACCATGAAAAAAAGCACCTACTTTTTTTGTTTGTTTGTTTGCGCAAGATGGAGAATACTTTCCCAGACAGGTAATGGGTCTTTTTTAAAGGAATGGAAGGTGCAACAATCAGGTAATGGATCCTTTTAAAAGGAATCAAAGGTACAATCCCTTTCTAATGGATTTTTCCTTTAACAATATATTTATTTCTGAGAACTATCTCCAACACTGATATCAACTGAACAAAGTAACAAAGCCAAAAAAAAAAAAATTCTCAGGAATTCTAGATCCAGAAGAGAAATAAAATACCTTGGATTAGGGCAACGCCAATCGCCATCCCGGCCGCTCCCCCTATCACCACCACCTCTACCGCTACGATCTCCTCCTTGATATCCGCCGCCACCACCGCCTGCAAACAAAAAAAAAAGAGTAAACTTACACAGATATACAATTAAGAAAACCCCAAACCTATGAATCTGAAAAAAATGAGATAGAAACAAAATAAGCACCTCGATTCCCATATCCACCACCACCTCCTCCTCTGCCACCGGCACCACCTCGGCCACCGCCTCCACCGTAACCACCACCACCATAGCCGCCGCCGCCTCCATAGCTACCGTTATATCCTCCGCCGCCGCCATATCCGTCGCCCTCGTGACCGTACGTACCAGACATGTTGCAGGGGATTATCTAGGGTTTCTTTTTTCTTTCCTTCTTCTTCGTGAGAGAGAGAAAGTGAGATAGATCGAGCGGCAGAGGAGATGCTTAAGTTATTTGACCGACTCGAGCTCGCTCTTTCTTCACTATCCTGAACCGAAAAAGTTAAGGATAATTAAAGACTTTTAAAACACAGTAAATAATTTAAGTGTTATTAAAAAAACCACTTTTGTTGACACTTTTTTAATTTTACACTAAACTACTCACTCCACTTTCTATATAATTAAGGATCAACTATGCTGCAGATCCCAGTGGGGTCCCATCTCCTGTGAGGTGGTGAGCACTAATTGGTTGAAACTTAAAAAAAAAATAAATAAATAAATAAAATAAATTTTTTTTATCTAATCACGACGCGCCACCTCACTGGGGTCGACCCCCAGTGGAGTCCGAAGCATTTTTCAATTAAGATCATATTTAGCAATGGGTTGAAATAGTAAAAAAATTAAAAATATAATAACTTATTCTTTATATTTTTTATGTATTTTTATTAAAAATTAAAATATTGTTAAGAAAAATTAATTCACAAACAAACCCTTGGTAAGAAAATCATTAGGCGCAAATTTGGCTTCGTTTGGAAAGCAAAAGTTGAGACTTTTTTTTGGTTATATTAGTTACAAAAAATAAAATACGCTTTTAATCTAACAAGATAAAATATCACATTCAACTCATAATCATTACCTTCTTTCTCTCATAAAAAAGTCAAAAAAGCTAAAACAATCCAAACCAAGCTTTTTAGCCTCAAGCTAAAATAACTAAAAAAATTAAAAAGTTAAAAAGTCAACACATTTTCCAAACAAACCCTTTCTTTGTTAAAATTAGTATTTTTAAGATGAGTTGGGCTTATTTTTGAAGTTAGTCATCTGAATTTGAAAGGGCATTTGGGTTTGGTAAACCTATTTTAGAATTGATTTCAATGACCCAAATTGTTCATTATTTAGAATTTATTGGGTAAAATATTCATGTAAAAAATAAGATGATTGAATATTAATAGTCATATATTTGAATTAAATCTGTATTACAAAAATAGATAGTTATTTTTAAAATTATATTTGTCGTCTATTTTTTAAAAACAAACATGATTCAAACGTATAAATATCAATGTCTAATCATTTTGATTTTTTGTATAAATATTCAACTCTAACAAATCTTAAAATATGAATAATTTAAATTACCGAAATTAATTCCAAAATAAATCTGTCAGGACCAAACCCAAACCCTTTTAGGATTATTAGTCTTGAGATTACTAATTTTTTAAATTATGTATTTTCTTTTATATTTGAATTGACACAATACTCTGAAAATGAATTAACAAAATCTTATCCCATATTTGTTTGGAAATATTAAAATAGACAAATATGAAATACATAATATGATAACCATAATAACATTATTAGAATTTACAATATATATTACACTATCATTTCATGTGCTACTTTCTTTTCTTTTTTTTGGAGCAAAATTTGTGCTACTTTTTAAAAGGCAATTTTGCCTACAAAAAAATTTAGGCGAAAAATTATACACTTCATTTTTCCTTTTTAGACCAAAATAAAAAATAAAAAAATTGTTATCAAGAGAAGAATATCAAATTCATTAATATTAAAAATCACAAGCAATCAATAAAAAATTTGCACAGTTATTTAACCATCAAATTCTGTTTAGTCCCATTTTTAGAATTTATTTTTTAAAAATATTAAAAAATAGTTTGGTAAAAATAAAAATTAAAAAGATATTCTTGAATTTTAAATACTATTTTTGCACAAGAAAAATTAACTGTGTATTTGAATTTTAAATTTTATTGAATTATTAATCGAATCATGTAATATGTCTGCCCATTAACTGTTTTCATGAAATAAAATCCGTTCTAACTTAATAAGTTGCATTTTAAATGTTTAGTTTTATCAATTTTATCCTTTATATTTTAACTTAACTTAATTTTGTCATTTCATTAAAAAAATAAGTTTTACAACTGGAGAAAAATTTGTACAATCGATTGTGAAATTATTATTTTTTAATGTAATAATACCACATCACTCTTCCATTTAAGTAGTCCAAAACTGGGGTGTGAGCCCAACATTCCACATAAGCAGCTGTAGAAATCCAATCCATAAACACTGAACACTACAGAAACTATTTCTGAGATAAAGGTAGTTGGAAAAAAAAAAAAAAAAACCTTCAAAATTAAATTGAATAAAATCAAAATCTCCCTCACAACATCAAAAATCCACAATAACATAGACAACTGATTTAAAATGCGACAAAAATGCTCCTCAAGAATCACTGCTCTAATTTGAGATTTCTTGTACTAAATCGGACTCAGTGAACATAAAAATACAGTTGCTGTCAGCAAAACTATCCAATGCAGGAGAACAGACCCGAGAAGAGATGCCGAAAGAGAAGTTTGTAATCCAACTGAAAATCTGCAATTTGCGAACGAAGGATCGACAGTGGTTATCAAACCCAACCCCCCAAAATCACAGCTATCCGCTGTCTGACTATGTTCTTGGTAGTAGCTGTTAAATGCGTATGATATGTTCCCGGGCCAACTAATGTTAAAACAAGAACCACCGGGAGACATGGCACTACAGTCAGCAACAGAACATGCCTCGAGAGCACTTGCCGTGGCATTTGACAAGTCCTGGTTATTGTTCACAACGCACCATTTTGAAGCAAGGTATTCCACATTCTGTGCATTCACAAGGTCTTTAAAACCCTTCCCAAAATCGATACGGTACTTGGCTTGGCCATCGAAAGTAAAGACACCCCAGTGTCTCTCAAAATTTCCGGTCACTATGCTTCTTCGATCCTCGTCTAAAAGGCTAAATACATAAGTCTCTATTGGTGGGTTTCGAGGTCTCAGAGGAGTACCTGATTTGCTATGAAGGTGATCAGTTAGGCCTTTCATGAATATCTCAGCAATTGATGAGGTGGCATTGGCAGCTCCGTCTGTAGGCCAGCCAATCTGCCCAATGATGATCTCCATCTGGGGAAATCCGACGGTTGATAATGCGGTTACAAGGGTATCATAGCTTAAGTCAAAGCTGTTTCGGTAGGTTTTGTGGCTGTCATTACGAGGATGTGCAGTTTCTTTGAAGAGAGCAAAATTGAGGGAAATGTTTTTGTTTTGACGGTAATTTAAGAAAGGCAAAATGCTAGCAAAGAAAGGAGAGCGATGCTTGTCAAGAAATGAGAGAAGTTCGATCATGGTTTTGTTGATGTCGGGCCTAAAGTGTCCTTTAGAAGGCAGGCCAGATTCAGATTCGAAAGTATCAGAACTGCACGGAACCACAACTCTGACCTTGTTTGCTAAGTTAGCACCAGTAAGAGCTGTTTGAATGTTCATGGCAGCACCAACAACAAAGGGGTAGAATTGTGCACCATAACTTTGGAGGAATGGCTCGTCACCAACAGCAATATACCTGTAAACAGGCTAGTTAGCAGTTTGCACAGGAAGACAAATCAACCTTATTGTACAAGTAAGATAGTTGACCACTAATTACATGTAATTAAGTTAAATGCAAAGAGAAAATAAGAAAGAAAAGAGGCTTATTATGGCAATTTGGAAGGATCATATCCCTCGTTCTCCCCTAAAAAATTATTATTGAACCTTAACTAATTTGTTTTTTATAGCTTGCATTTAGTAATCCACAAAAAACTAGACTCAAAGGTCATCTTCCATCCCGTGATGAAGTTGTGCTCCACCGATATACAATAGTCGTCTTTAATGTGCCTAAGGTATACAAGAGTGTATCCCTTTGATCGTGACCAAATGCAATCCACCACAAGTCCATTGTTCACTGAAATGCTGTCTTGAAAATCAAGACAAACAGCAGTTAAATAATGTAATTTGTCATAAAAAGGCAAACCCCATTGCAGAATCTAAACTTGAAGTGAATAGCAACCAACCACACTGGAGCGAAGCATTTTAACAGATGGAGTGAGAGGTAAATATAGGGAGGTTAAGCTGGAGTTTGCTCTGTTATCAATTTAAATTACCGCTCAACAAAAAACTTATATCCATTCGTCTGTCCCAGCCATCGCCATGAACAATGTAGCCTTGGGATTGCCGAAGCATATATCGATGAACTAGCGGATAACACTTGCATGATTGCTAGATAGATTGTTTCAAATCAAGCCAACCTTCTAGAAGCAAGTCTCCACTCCTCACACACACAGAGAACATAATAATAATAATAATAACAATAATAATAATAATAATAACTTGGCTAAATTGGCAAATTCAGTTTAATAGCTTTCCCCAAAATAATGAACTAGTACAGCATAAAACACACTCATCTAAATGGTATGAGGCCTTGCTTCCACGTCTTCATGAAAATCCACAAGAAGTTTCACCACATCTGCACAAATTCCTTTTCCTCAAAACTGAGTGCTCCCATGATTAATCCCAACCAAGTTGAGTAAAGAGGCAATGAGAAATACGTGGAATCCAAAGCTAATTTCTCAAATGGGTGGAATACAAAGCTAATTTCTCAAAAGGGTCAGTAGTGGGCACATGAAATTTTCTAGAAAAGACTAGCTTTTATACTAAAATAATATTCCACCAGGGGCCTAAATAATAAGAAAAAAATAATAATAAAATAGTATAATGAAATAGGAATTCTATAAGATAGAGAGGTGCATGTGGGAAGAAACAGAAGAGAATTTAATCAAGAAGAGATAGTTGCATAGATAGATTAAGAGACAGATGATACAAATGGAGAAAAAGAGTTCAAAAGGAAAAGAGGAGAGAGAGAGTACTTCAACTAAATTTGAATTCATTCTTCTGAAAGGTTGATAATACTGTTATATAGCAGTGAAATAGTCTCAAGAATACCCTAAAACTCAGTTTCTACAAAAGTAATTATAAACACTGTAGTAACCAATTATAATCCAATTTTTATTACCAAAATAAGCAGAAGAATTAATATTACAAAAAACAGCAATACTATTTAGAAAGCCCTAAACTTGTCAAAAGGCCAGCATAAGCTAGGTTCCATCAGCTGCTCTTCATTGTTAGTGGTTAGTTGCTGGAAGCAAAAATTTGCAAAAGTAAAGGTTTTTAAAAGCAATTAATGTCAATATTCACAAAGTTTACCAAGTTGCTTGCCTGCATATGTGCTTGTCATTAATGGCCAATTACCAAAATAACTCTAGAAAATCAGCAAGTTCACGGAGATCCACAAAATTTAGAAACCAAAGAACAGGTACACTTCACAGTTCAAAAAGAGGTCACAGATCTGGTAACTATGATGAAAATACAAAAATATACACAATTTAATCATCAAATGAAGTCCCATTCCATTGTCATTTCATACATTTCTCCATATACTTACCCTAGTTGGTCTTGAAACCAATGGCCTTACATTCAATATAACTCATTTTAATATTACAAGAAATTGGTGAACCTTCTAAGGAGGTATAATATACACAATACATAATAAAAAAAATTTGTTAGAAGAAAGACAAGGTGAAGCATCCAAAACAGTTGAGGAAGCATATGAATACCTATTTGCTCAAACTTGACGCTCCCACGAAGGAATTCAAAGAAAAAGCATTTCAATTGTAAAGTAGAAACTTGGAGTTTTCAAACATTTTCTGGTTAAAATTCCACCAAATATATGTTGTCATGCTAAGCGAAGCGGCTCTTCAAATTATAATGTTTAGACCAGTAGATGCCCACCAATGGATGGGAAGTATTATTCTTATCGTGTGTTTTTCACTCTAGGACATCATTCAGCTAGTGGCTGAAACACCACCTTGCATTAACAATTGGGATACACTCCACTGTATCGTCTCTTCAGCTACCCAACAACATTTGCACTATTAAAGCTTCTTTTGCCATTCATTAAATTTTAAACAGCCTGAATCCATGCAGAATTAGATACATTTAAGCAATTCTAGTTGCCATTGCCAAAGAGACCAACTAAGTGAGACATTACATAGCATCAAATTAAAACAACTAGAAGGTTTGGTATTTGTTGTTATGAAAGGTTACCATATAGAGGAGTCACTACAAGGGTTCCAGTTCTAGTCTCTGCCCAAGATTGTCAGCATCCTTGTATTTTTTCAATTTTCCAAGGCCAACCAAAAAGAACACGCAATCAAATGGAGTCCAAGATACATCCTAAACAATGTTTTGGACTTTCAATGGCACGCTAGATGTTAATTTTGATACTCGTATTATTGCATTCCCCAACCTTCCACACAACACCCCAATAAATAAATAAATAAGGTTGATAGCATGACAACAAGGGTTATTTGAACACATACTTACGTATAACCATATTTCGCTCAAATGAAAAAATAGGTTGGCTAGGGTATAAGTGTGATAATAAATGCTCCAGCCCAATTAAAAAAATCACAAAACCAAATAAATCTATTTGCAAATCCAACAACATTGAGGTTGTATCCACAGCCGTCTCACATTATGAGACCAGCACATGTGAGAGGGAGCAATACGGATATAGTCACTGAGGCTATGTATTTTCATTTTTTTTTTGTAAGTAAAGCAAATTGTATTAAATAAAAACGTCAAACATCAAAAGGGATGTTACCCTGGTATAAAAAGATTACACCATGATAAACTATATCATTGTCAACAACAGAAGCCTTTACACTCCCGAAAAAACAACTATAGATTCTTACAAATGAAGAGAACCAACAAAATTCACATTATTTTTGGTAAGTACAAAATCTACAATATGATCTTGATCTTCCTTAAAAGCCATCTAGGCAAAATGACCTAATAGCCACTTTTAAGCCTATATAGAGGCTCCTCTACACTTTGAGAAGTCCTCTTATTCCACTCCTTCCATAAAAGCCACATCAAACATAAAGGAGCCAGTAGCCAAGCCTTTTGTCTTTGCTTTCCCACCATCCAAACAAGATCCCCATCACATCTCTTTGTAAAACCCAATCTATCAAAAACAGAGCCAAAACTAGATCCCACAAATCCCTCGTCACCTTGTAATGAAAAAGAAAAAGGAAACTGACTCACCATTACAATTACAAACCAATTAACAATAATTTGCCATCTCCTAATTAAGTAATCACCCCGTAAGGATCTTCTCATGGGCTGCATTCGGCCAAACACACACACACACACAAAAAAAAAATTGGATGGAATCCTAACAATCCAAATGTCTCCAATTAAAACTCACCCTCCTATTCCCCAACAAAGTCCGATAAAAAGACTTCACGTCAAGACAACCCACCACAAAGAATTTGGACCATCTCTAATGCTTCTATACCTCATCTCTACACCACTTATGATGCCAGAACTTCACCCCATCTCCCCTCCCCACCTTAAAAGCCATCACATTTCAAATAATCATCCCAAACTAGACGGATTATCTTCCAAAGCCCCCTCTCAAGATTTAATCACTTGGTATCTTTCCATGCTTGTCGCTAATACTAATTTTCAGGTAGCTTCTTTCTAGCATGAATTGCTTTGGTTTCTTCTAATTCTTTCTACATGTGGGTGGATGTTGTATTATGTCTTGAGCTTAAGGAATATATGTTTCGTTTGCATACTTTGTGCTTTGCAATCCAAAATATAGAAAAATGCTAAAAGCAGAGAAAATAAAACCCACAAACCCTTTGTTGAAAAACCACAAGATAAACCCATAAATAAATATACTCAAACATATATATATGACTGAGGGAAGGGTAAAAACAAAGTGAATGGCATACTCTATTCGAACTCCACTGCCTCCATTGGAGAAGTAACGGGTGAGATTATCGTGGACCCAACTATCAGCAGCCTTCTTGGAGGAATTCAAGCTTCTAAGCATGGAATTGGGAATGCCAACAGTTACATAGATATTAGAACCGGAGAGAGATTCGAGGACGAGAGGATCGGTATCGAAGAGCTTGACCTTGGAGATGTTGTTGAATTTCAAGAGGTCAACCACCTTGGGCGGTGGCAGTGGTTGGGAGGCGGTGGTGCCCCAGTTAACCCCAATGGCTCGAACCCTAGACGGAAACAAACTCCAAATGGCTACCACTGACAGTAAGGCCAGGATCAGAGGCAGATTCGAGGCCATTGAAGAGAAGAGAGGTGTGTGATGCAACTAGTAAGCCTGGTACTGCTTCATGCTATGGTTTTGGTTTTGGTTTTGGTTTTGGTTTTGGACTAAGGGTAGTGTGTCTGGCGAGCGTGTGACTGGGAGCTCGTTTGGGATTTGGTCCGCTTTTTAGTTTTTTTAGGTTTTTTTTTTTGTAAAAAATAAATAAAATAATTATATGTTAAAAATAATATTTAATTTTATTTAATTAAAAAAATAATTATATGTTAAAAATAATATTTTATCTTATTTTATTAAAATAATTTATTATTCCTTACATGATTATTTTAGTTCAAATTATATTCCCAAACTCGGACTGTGTTTGGGGGACAGACTTTGGTCGGGGACTACGGCAATTATTTATTCGTAGTGCTAATGTGACCGCACCTGCGTACTGACATGCCGGCTTGTTTTAGTCTGCACTCCTTAAACCATTTTATAATACAATTGTCTTTAAGCCGTCCACTTTTGGTTAGGCATTAAATTTAGTATTTTTATATTTTAATGTACATTTTAATTCCTGTTGATTGATCATTGTTTAATATTAAGATTGGTATTAAAATAACAAAAATGTTAGAGGTTTAAAAAATTTTACTAAAAATTTTACCAAATATCTCACGTGGTGTGGGATCCATATGAGACCAACATTGTGGCAATCCCACACTCATATGAGACATTTAATAAAACTTTTGATAGAATATTTAAAATCTCTAACATTATTCTTAAAATAATATTTTAGAATTGCACAAAAATTAAAAAAAGGACGTTCCATTCAAAAGTCCAATTCAAAATTTTATTTCTCAAAGATTCAAGCATGAAATTAGTAGGTTCACGAGGACATAACTTTTCACAATGACCAAATTACCTTTATATATTAACCATTTACACAGAGCAATAGAAAGAGAACTTTTCCACGAGAGGAGAGTGAGACAGACAAACGTGCGAGAGAGTCTTAAAACCCTAGATCGCTCAGTTACCGTCGGACGCACTAGCATCGTCGTTGATATAGACACCGCCCTCCGCCGTTCCGACTCTAACTCATTCGTTGTGGACTCGGTCGTCCTCTGTCGCTCGTCATCGTCTAAAAGCTGTGAGTCGTGAACAGATCATCGCAGCAAGGGCTCATTGCAACAAAGCTCCTCAACTCCGTTGCCGATCGAGCTCTGGATTGCTGTTGAACTCCCTCGATTTCATATCCAAAATCACCATAGCCTTCGCGTGGAGCTCATTCAATTCTAGATCCAGATCAGGTTCTAGATCGCTGTAGCTTTCGTATGGAGTTCCTTCTCCAACATCTTCATGTACTCTTTTCCCCCCTCTCTCTTTGTATATATATACACTTAACTCTCACCTATATGTGTATGTATCGTTATTGTTATTGTTGGATTATCCTAAAGTTCATTCTCCATTTGCCTCTAAAACTCCAACGTAATCACATTTTTACCGTCTCCCACCATCGCCGCAAGCTTTACCAACGCATTCGGCGGCGATTGTGGAGAAGGAGATGGAGGGACAAGTTGGATTGTTGGATTGTTGTTGCTGAAAATTTGTTGTTTGTTGAACATATAGAATTTTTGAATAAATAAATTTCAATAAATATAGAATTTTGGAGGGGTGGTCACAGATTTATTTTGGACGGTTTGCAGATCGGTTAGGAAAAATTAAACCCGCAACAACTCGCACTGCGGGTTGCGGTTTGTACGGATAGGGTTCGCGGATATGCAGGCGATTTGGGGATTGGACTTGCAAAAAAAAAAAAAAATTTGTTTTTGAGCATTTTTTTCTCATTTTGTAAATATTTATTTTAGGCTTTTTTTCCCCTTATCTTCTAAAATGCTCCAACAATAATAATTAATAAATTAAAACTTATAAAATAAAAAATACAATAAATTCAATTTATAACACAAACAAATCATTTAAAATCCTAAACTTTTAAATCAAAATATAAACTAACACAAGCATATCTTCCAAAATCATAAATTAAATCATCAATCTCATTCACTATTTACTACCCAACAATATTATTAAAGTAAAATCATTCAAAATCCTAAACTTATTTAAAAGTAATTCTTCATTAACTTTTACATTCATGCAAAATGTAATAATAAAATAACAGAAGTTCAGGTTTTAAATTATTATTATTATTTTTTAAAAGGTCTAAATGCGAGCAGGTTCTTGTGAGTACGGGTTAAACACGTAACCCACAATCATGACATATTTCAAGCCGCATCTATCCGCATTGTGTCTACGAAATCGCCCATTTATATGCAGATCGGCTCGGATTGGACTGGTTGTGCTGTTCGGATAACTCTATGCCCAACCCTATTTTGGACGATGATGGTGGGTTGGATTGTTGTTGAAAATTTGTTGCTTTTTGAACAAATTTGTTCAAAAAATTGAACAGATAATTAAAAAATCATAGAATTTCAACAAATAATTTGAACATATAGAAATTTTGAATAGATAAATTTCAACAGATAGCTTTTATTTGCACATATTATGTATGTATATGTACCATGTATGTATGTATGTATTTGAGAGTGTATATTTGCATATATATGATGTTGTATTGGCCAATTCACAATGTTATATGATTTTTTGATTGGTAAATTCGAGATGATCATGCAAAATTATGGTTTTATCATTGTCTTGATTGATTCGAGGAAATTGAGCTTGCTTAAGTGATCTAATTTGATTGAAATTATGATCCTAGTTTTGTATTTGCTTTTATTTTGACTGTTTATTGAATTTGTTTTTCTATACATGGAAGTTGTAATTCATTAGTTTCTTTATTTAAAAATATATATATATATATATGTTTTGCAGGAGTGTTGAAGTTTTAATAGTATGTTTTTGAAACTTGGGCTGTGAGTGTGAGGGTTTGAAAGAATACATGTGATTGTAGGATTGTTAAGGGAAGTGAAGCTTTGATTGGGAGGAGTTAGCTAAGAAAGATGTATTGACCTGTGGCTACCACCACTACTCTGGGTGGATTACCAACCGATAGTGGGGATTCTGTGGTGACACTCGAGCAACTTGTTTTATATGTTGTTTTTGTTTTCAAAAAAGTAAAATTGATTCTAAAATTTTAAAATTTTCTAAAAAATGATATTTTCATATGTTTCCAAAATAAGTTTTCACTATCTCCTTCATTCCTCACCATCTCTAATGACCTCGGGCACTATTAGTGAGAAAAGATCTTTGAAAATGGGCTTGTAAAATTACTAAATTCAAGTGTGTTGGTGATAATTAAAAATAAAATACCAGAAAATACAAATAATAAAAATTACAATAACTATTGTAAGGGCTGAGGCGTGGAAAATTCGCTCTCTTTAAGGAGATTCAAGCCCTCTGCGGTTAGACAAAGCCTCACACCGGTGTAGCAGAAAAAACCTTGACTTGTCCCCCCTAGGATACAACAGCCTGACTAAGTCGTATGGTTCACCAATGCTACACAATTGGTTAAACACAAAACTTTATCACATACACCCTTTTTTATTTACTTGATAATCTCACACAAAACATAATAAAGCAACAAAAACTTCTTTTCACCTCCAAGATAAGAAGTTAGATCAATTTATAGAAGATGAAACTTGTTAGGGAAGTAGCTTGTAGGAGAAGACACTTAGTGGAAAAGAATAGGAAAGGAAACTGGTGAGCAATTTCCTTGGAAGACTTGAAAGACTTGGAAGACTTGTCTTGGAAACTTGGTGGGCAAGTTTTCTTGGAGGAAAAGAAAGGATTAACAAGTTATTTGGAGCCCAATCGTATAATATAATCTATAACACATTATAATATTAAAATATCTGTTAACATTCCTTCACCTATTTTAATATTATAGGTAACAAAAACTGAGATTATTAGGCAAATAAAGATATTATGCATCATAATAGGTGTGCTCTGCATTGAACCTCCATTAGTGAAACAATAATATTTATTCCAAAGCCAATAGTATGCTCAACATTGAACTATGGCTATTTAAGGGAAATAAATAATTATTGCACACACATAATATTCCAGGTGTTCACATAAGCTTTAAGAGCCAGCACATTACGACCTTGTGCGATCCCAGGATTCATGATTGTGTTTAAGAATTAGCCCAAATCTCATAGGTAGCGACCCTACTACCACACTCACATAGATGAATTCTGTCAAGGGTGCTCCTGTAACTATGACACCCCACTCAATAAGAGCTACAGAAATTCATTAAGAGTTTTTTAATAACTCAAACTCTATAATGTAACAGGATAAATGCACTTATATCATAGGGATGGAAAAAAAGTAATTTAGTGCATTTCTCACAGCCATCATATGATCGTTTTTCTCATTGAACCCAGTTACAGGATCTCTGGTCCTTGGGTTGAATATCCTCATACATGGCTCCTGCTATATTCAATGGGCTTTAACCCCATCCCCCTCGATGTATTCCAAACTCTATCTCTTGCTAAGGCCTTAGTTAATGGATCTGCAAGATTATCACCAGATTGAATATAATTCACATTTATGATGCCATTATTCATATAAGATCTCACAGTACTGTGTTTTCTTCTGATAGGTTTGGATTTACCGTTATAATAATGGTTGTTTACTTGACCAATTGCTGCGGTGCTATCACAATAAATCAGTATAGGTGGAATCGATTTTTCCCAACAAGAGATTTCATTTAACAAATCTCTTAACCAATTTGCTTCTTCACTAGCGGTAGCTAAAGCAATAAGCTTAACCTCCATTGTTGAATTAGCAATAATGGTTTGTTTTTTCGATTTCCAACTTATAGCACCATCTCCTAATGTAATAAGTAACTAGTGGTTGATAATGAATCACCTGACAAGGTATTTTAATCGGCATCACTGTAACCTTCAAGTACTGTTGGATACTTATTATAAAACAAGCCATATTTTATGATACCAGATAAATATTTCATAATCCGCTCAATGGCTACCCAGTGATCACTACCAGGCTTGTTAGTAAACCTGCTAAGTACTCCAACTGTATAGACAATGTCAGATCTGGTACAATCAGTCACATAACGTAAGCTACCAATCATACTAGCATATTCCTTTTGATTAATTACATCCTCATCATTTTCAACAAGAAATAAACGCACATGA